TTTTAAGTTAAAATTCTTAAATATTATATAAAGACGAGAAGACCCTATAGAATTTTATAATTAATTTAAATTTAAGCTTAAATTAATTTAAATTTAATTTTTATTATTAAATTGGGGAAATTTTAAAATTTTAAAAATTTTTAAAAAATTTTTACTTTAATTTAAGAATACATTATCCAATAATAATTATTTATATTTATTGAATTTAAATTAAATTACCTTAGGGATAACAGCGTAATAATTTTAGAGAGATCATATTGAAAAAATTGATTGCGTCTTCGATGTTGAATTAGGATAAAATTTTTATGGAAAAATAATTATTTTTAGTCTGTTCGACTATTAAAATCTTACATGATTTGAGTTTAGATCGGCGTAAGCCAGATTGGATTCTATCTTATATTTATAAAAATAAATTTGTACGAAAGGACTTTTTATTTATATGTTATATTTTAAATTGAATTAATTTATTACTTTGACAGATTAGTGTATTAAATTTAGAATTTAATTATAATATTAAAATATTAAGTAATAATTTTTTTAAAAATATTATTTACTTTGATTATTATTATATTAGATATAATAATTAAAATTTTATTCAGAATTGCTTTTTTAACTTTATTAGAACGTAAAGTTTTAGGATATATTCAAATTCGTAAAGGTCCTAATAAAGTAGGATTTATAGGAATTTTACAACCTTTTAGAGATGCTTTAAAATTATTTTCTAAAGAAGTGTCATTAATTTTAAAATCTAATTATTTATATTACATAATTTCACCAATATTTAATATATGATTAATAATAATATTATGATATAATATTCCTATAATATCTAATTTATTTAATTTAAAATTTAATTTATTAATAATTATATGTATTTTAAGATTAGGAGTTTATGGTATAATAATAGCTGGTTGATCCTCTAATTCTATTTATTCTATAATTGGAAGTTTACGAAGAATTGCTCAAACAATTTCTTATGAAGTAAGAATAATTTTAATTATAATAATTATAATTTTTATAATTGAATCATTTAATATAAATTTATTTACTGATTATCAATATTATCAATGATTTTTTTTTATACATTTTCCTCTTTTTGTATTATATTAGTAAGATTTTTAGCAGAATTAAATCGGACACCCTTTGATTTTTCTGAAGGGGAATCAGAATTAGTTTCTGGATTTAATACTGAATATATAAGTGGTAGTTTTGCATTAATTTTTATTGCAGAATATGGAATAATTATGTTTATAAGATTAATTATTTTAATTTTTTTTTTTTAATTTTTATTCTTATTTTATAATTTTTATTGATATAATTATATATTTAATTTTATGAATTCGAGGTACTTTACCTCGATATCGATATGATAATTTAATATATTTAACATGAAAGAGATTTTTACCTATTAGATTAAATTATATTATTATAGTTATTTCTTTAAAATTATTTATTTTATAAAATTATTAGAAAATTTTATTTCTATATTATGTTTTCAAAACATAAGCTTTTAGCTTAATAATTATTTATATAAAATATTATCTATAATTTTATTAATTATTGGATATAAAAAAAAATATGAAAAATATATAACAGATCTAATAAAATATTATAAAATATTACATATACATTGAGCCATCTCGAGAAAAGAGTTTAACTCAAATATATCCACCCACTCAATTTAGAGCAGATCTTGTTTCCAGCCAATTATGTACGCGGAATTCCAAAGATTGCTATGATTATGGAACCGATTGTAGGGATGTCATTCCTTCAACTAATAAGAATCTAAACGCACATAGGCCAAATACTGTTCAGCTTACAATAATAGTCCATAGAACGTCACATTTTGTATTTCCGGTGGGAAGTCTTTTACATTTGTACTTTAATTTCATTTTGTACAAAATTCATGGAGTGGAGTTCCTCAGTTTTTTATATTTGTCAAAATTTGTGCAAAGTTCTGTTATTGAATAATCAACAATAAACGTGTCAATAAAAGTATATTTTTTTATCATGATTTCGTAATTTTGCTTTTTTCAGTTCACCATTCCATGCTACATTCATCGTAAGTGGTTTTTTAGATTTATAATATTTTATATAAGTTCTGTAAAGATTATTTATGAGAATTGTCTTCTGAATTCAAATTGCTAATTCTATTGTGGCTCAAGGTACTTCTTATGGTTCTCGGATATTCTTTTTCCATTCATTGTGAAATATCCTGTTTTAGTTGACCATAAGAAGTATATTTGTTTAATTTATTTTTCTAGTTTAATTAAAATGTATTGCATTTAATTTTAATAATTGGTGTGATGTATATTATTTCATTTGAATTCGTGAAAAGACTACGTCATTTTGTTATGCTTTCGCGTTTATTTTTACTTTTTCTGTAAGTATATTGACAACTGGCAATTTTATAATTGTATGTGTGTGTGGATGTTTTGTTGAAACTTTGTGGTTGTCTTTAGTCAAGCAATAACTATGTAATATTTTATTTGTGTATACGTATTAGTTTGTTTTTGTTATACGAATTTTATACTTTTTATTACATTTTAGCGGATATTAGATGATGAATAATGGAAAACTTTTAAATACAGCTTTATACATACATTTGTTAAATTAATTTTATAAAAAATTTTGAGTCTGGTAATAAAAACACAAAGAGAATAAAAATGTATAATTTTTTTCGCTCTTCAAGGAAGCGTTTTTCTATCCGTTTTTGTTACATTTATATATTTTTAGCTCATGCATACCAGTATCTTTGTATCATGGCCTTTTTAATCGAACCAACATTTTCCTTATGTACTTTGAGCCGCCGAATCTAAATTTATTACGTGCGTTGTCGTCAGACTATTGGTTCAATTGGTATTAATTAGCGTTTTTTCCATAATCAGTAATGAAATTAAGTATTTTCTAAAATAAAATTAGTTAGCTTCTTTCAGCGAATTTTAAATAAAAAAGGTACCTAAGCCTTAGTTTCGGAGAAAATAATTGCGGAAGTTTTGAAAAGTGTGATTTTTCGAAATGCGCATCGTGTTATTCAATGAACTCAATGATATATACGAGGCTGATAATGCTCAGCTCCTTACCGTATAAATATCAATGCCGTAGGATTTCATCCTTTTCTTTCTTTATCACCTTTACAGATTTTTTTTCTAAGCTTTGCGAGACTTCTTGATGGTCTTGTTTCTGAATTGGTCAATGTAAAAAATATTTCTGTTAACAATTTTTATGTTACTTATTGATATTTTTCTGTTCAATTTAATTTTAATGTAACTTTTGGCAAAAGAGTTAATTATCAAAATTTCTTTAAGCACCTCAAAGAGCTTGAATGTATGTATAAACAGGTAGGTTGTCAATTATGTATGCTTTATGACTTTCCACATTCAAAAATTATTCACATTAACCAACTTTTTACAATGCCTTTTAACTAAGCCTCGCTGTGCTTTAAAAGAAAGTTGTATTTTTTCTTTGTAAGAAAATAAAATGTAAATTTTCTTTTGTAATTAGCGGAAAAAGAGGACCAGAGTAGGTACCAAAAATCTATTTCATATTTACGATTGATAGGGTAGATTATTTAGCTTGATAATTCTCATTTGGTTATATTTCATAACGCAATATCAGATATTAGATACTTATCTAAATTAACAGTCTCCGTTTTCCTCAAATAATTTTTATGACTTAACTTCGGATAGTTTTACATCTTAATTAAGACTAGCAGAGGCAGTAAAACATATAAAATTTTCAATTTCACTCATTACAATTTGGATATATGTAGTCATTTGTAGCATGAGTTTATTTAGTTATTAAATTTGAATAACAAACATTTAGCTGTCAATGTTACATTAGTGAATAACTTATTGGAGAATCTTACTATCTTTATTTCTATAAATTAACTTTTGAAAATACTTAACAATAACAGACACTATAATATTCAAATAATTATTTACAATGAAACATTGACGTGAGAATAAATAACCTAACCTGTTAGTCATAAACATATAGGGTGCTTTTAGCATTGCACTCCTTTTTTTCTTCGCCATGACCCAAAAGACTCAACTCATTTCCAACGCATAGAACTAAATCCTTTAAAATCTATCTATCAAAACGTTGTTGGCGTAATCAACTTTTATGGTGATGTTCTATCGGCCTCTTCTGGCCCCTGGACTACCGGCTACCCTTTTCAACAGTTGGTTTCAAATGACGCGACACCGTGTCCACGCACATGATGCTTATTTCGATAAGACATTTTGCGCCGTGATCGCTTAAAAAATGCCTCCAATAATGGTATCGGCACGTCAAAATTGAACTCGGAATTGCCTCGAGATATCACGAGACGAAAGAGTTAAGGGAATTAATCCGATTAAAGGTCTGACGACACATAATAATAAATAAAACAATTTATATTGAGTATACTAAAAATTTGACGTAAAAACACTCAAACAGGCAATATGATAGTATCATATGAAGACCTTTAAGTGATTGAGGCGCCAATTTCAACGCGCCAGTAATGCAACTTTTATTACGTAAACGTGAATTTTACATGGCAAAAGAATACAAAACTTTTGAAATAAGACAAATGTATCTCTATGCAAAAAGACTGTTGAACATTAGATTTCATATTTATGTAGGAAAAACAATGACATACATATGGAACTGTTTTTGTTTGTTCGATTGTTTTTTTTGGTTCGATTGATGAGTTGCGTCATTGCAGTGGTAAGCAAAAAAATAAGTCAGTGGAATATGTTATGAGTATCTTTGGGCGCGAAAAATAAAATAATAAAAGAGAAATAGAGATTGAGTTTATTATAAATCTAGATGAACTCGTATGGAGGTAGCACCTATATAAGTATTTCCTTATATGAGATTATCATATTAGGATTGGATGTATAGATGTATGTAAAACATTTGAGAATCTGTATCGTCTTTTCTTTGAATCAAGGATTAAAGGTCCAGATGAATTTCTGCTCGTTGAGAGGCATCAGAATAAGCATGACTCCATTAAATCTGTTTTATGAATTTATTAAAATGTATCTATAAATTTGTTCGTCGATAAGCGATGTACAATAAAGATGATCGACGGCTTACATAAGTAAAAATAAATAAATAAAGTTTAGTGATTAGCAATAGAACTTAAAGCTACATTCGGTAATATGTGTAATTGCAGTAACTACAATTAATCAGACTGCGCTCGCTCGAGGACAATACAATAACGTCGAGTTAGGTAAATTGCGCTGACTAGTAAATGCCACACTTAGTAATGAAATGTCATTGCAGAGGAGTAAGGTTGCTTAGGATGGACAGGGCGATGACTGACCGGAGCTGTAGACAAGATCTCTGCCGCGAAACATGGCTTCGATTACGAGTTGGCGGTCGAACGCATGTCCTTGTGAGCGCATCATCTCGACAAAGTAGCGATAGCTAGTCCAGGCGCTGCTGGGCTGCTGCTGATAATCCCGAGGGAGCGGCGAGCGGGATACTGCGGCAGTAATGGCTGGCGCTGACTTGAATGGCGACGGGGAGCCAATTGTCGCCCTCGACAATGGCTGGTCGGCCTTCGGTACCATGTTTGATCTGTCGATGATCGTCACGTGGTTCTATCAGTTACGTTACGATGAAAACAATGATTCGCAAGCTGATGACACTTACCTGTGATGAATCAAAACATTCGGCCGAGAAAGCGAAAGAGAAAGAAAGAGAGAGAGAGAGATAGAAAGAGAAAGAGAGAGGTAGAGAGCGGCGAGTGCGCTTGGGGCATCAGCTGGGGGCGAACTGAGCTCGAGCTCGGGCATATGTGGCGGGCAGGGCAGAGAAGCCCCGACGGAACGAGCCGGCATGTGGAAACCATATGGGTCGATGGCACTGTGAACTGCTGCTCCCCCTCGATGCAGCGTCGACACACGCGCGCGCACTATTCTCTCTCTCTCTCTCTCTCTCTCTCTCTCGCCGGCCTGCTTATATTGCCTTCTATGCTGCGGGAGCAAGGCATATAAACCGAGCCAAATATAACAGCGCTTGCGAGTAACGAATGTTTCGTTCTATTTGTTCGAGAGCGCGTATGAATAATCACCAAGAGAAAGCCCAGTGGGACAGCTATAGGATTAGGCGAGTACAGGTTGGCCGTTGCACTGGTCTGCTTCATTAGCGGTATTGCAGTCCTCGGTACAATTAACAGCAGACGGGATGCGTCGATGCCGCTGACATTAAAACGGGCTATTGCGAGGGTAGGCTCAATGCGTTCCCCACTGGCCGCGGAAGGCTTTCAGCTAGTTGCTCGTCCATCTACTCCCGCATCTATAACGCGTCGATCGTCTACTTCTTCACCCGATATCCATAGACAGGCTGCTAGAGCGCACACTTAGAGAATCTGCCTCGACTCGCGAGCACCGAATTCGCCACGACTGTCGGCTATGGCTCATAGCTGATTATTATTGAGCCAGTCCATCCATAGAAATCATTGGCCGTATGCGTGGCTAATTAGAACAAGCGACAGTAATACGTCTAACTGTGTACATAGCCAATTTTGTTGACACTGTTGTACACGTCAGTATTCGGCTGTCATTGAGCAATATTAGTGTTTGAGTCTTTGATATATACATATACGAGATATCGAGCTGAGACACTGCAGCTGCAAAACACGTGCCCGCGTGAGTATCAGTATACTTACACGCGCGGGATAATCAACGCGCGCATCGTGATCTCGTATATTTGGCATTACGACGCGCTTGTCGTACACAAAATCGCGTGACGATCGTCGGACATGATTGCCGCTCCGTAGATCACGCTTCATTGGGCTCTATCTTGGTGCTACGCTGAGCGCGGGCGACTCGGCAGCGGCCAAACTTTGAGCGGCAATTAATTTCAATTCCAGCCAGTTGATAAATTTGTACATACATGATGTAACCTCACCCGCAGGCAGTCATTCGATTGAGCATAGTTCTATCGCCGATTTTTATTATCCGCGTTCGTCGACTGAATTAAGCTTCTGCGTACCTTACTAACGTATGCATTACACACACATAGCTGCTATCAGATGGCACGAACGGCAGAACAACCAATCATTGAACGAAAACAATATTCCAGCAATATTGAAATAGTGAGCTAGAAACAATAAAGTTCTCTGTGCAGGTAATGACGATCATAAATTGTTGTCTTGATCGATAATTAACATCAGTATACAATGATCGTTGTAAAGACATACTAAATAAAGGTCTGCTGCAATTTCAATGTGTATTATCTATTTGCGATAAATGTAATTGTAGAAGTCGAGTAGTTGACCGGAAAGCTTGGAAGAACCTTCAAGCTTCATATGTTTATACTATCTGTTGGAGGCCTTTTTTAAGCAGAGGTCAATTAGCGGTATAATACAGAAGAAAAATGTAGAAACAAATACAGGCAGAAAAATCAAGCGCAAGGTAAGTAATAACACGTTGAATTATTTTTCACCGATGTAGGTCTTTGGCCTACTTCCATAATATTTTCGCAATGGCGGGAACGGGAATGCTCGTGGAAGTTCTGGCGTCGGTCCCGAGCTCTCGATCACGCTGATGAGCCTTCAATACGAGGAATATCTACGAGACACACGGTCGCGAACGAGCGTCGATATTTTGAACAGTCAAGCAGATATCTAGCGGGTTCGAAGTAGCCATCGAAACGAGACCCGAGCCGTGGAAGATGAGGGTTCGGCGCGAATTAAACGGTCGCGAGCCGAGAGCGAATTGCGTTGAATGCGTCGAACGAGAAGTCATCGCCGAATCGGAGCGAACGAGGAGTAAACGAAGCAGCACTGCGCGCGAATGCAGTTGAAATAGCGTCGAGTCAGCATGCCAGCTACATAGACAGGCAAATTCCTCGAAAGCCGCGAGACAGCGAAGATTCGTTAAGGAGTCATCCGCCGGGGCGTCAATAACGCATAAAGAAATACGGAAGCAGGTAGGTCGCGCGATAGGAACTGCTGGCGTTGATAGCAAGCGACAGCGCGGCGCATTAGCGCTGCACGATGTCGTAAGGACCGAGAGCAGGACAGTGATACGGATAGTTAATTTAGGTGGAGAGAGCGCGATAAGGCAATTGGCAGCAATGGAGCAACGGCGAGAAGTATCATCGGATTGCGCGCCGCCACTACATAGAGCGACTCGACTTATGTACTTGCAAGCAGACAGTCAGTCAGTCAGTCAGTCAGTCAGCTTTCGGACGAGACGCCGCGTGCACGTGTTTCGCTCGCAACGATGAAGCGGTTATTTTGGCTGTGGGCGCTGGTGCTGGTAGCCGCTGCGGGCGCTGACGAGGCTGACGGGAAGCTGAGGCTGCGCATTCTTCACACCAACGACATGCACTCCAGGTAGGCTTGTACGTTATCGGCTGTCGGCCAGTGGTCGATGTGCCGAGCGGAAGGGATGCCGGTTACGGTGGCGGCCGCTTTCGGCGAGCAGGTTCGAGGAGGTGTCCAAGGAGGTCGGCTACTGCAGCAAGCTGGAGTCGGCGGTGGGCCTCTGCTACGGCGGCTTCGCCAGGCTGGCGAGCCTGGTGCGGACGGCGCGCGCCTCGGCCAACGCGTCCGGCGAGGCAGTGCTCTTTCTCAACGCCGGCGACACTTACCAGGGCACCAAGCTCTACAGCCACTACAAGGCTAGCATCGTCATCAAGTTTCTCAACATGCTGCGCCCCGACGTGGTGGTGAGCAGCCGACGCTCTTTCTCGCTCCCTTCCTCTTGCCCTCTCTTCCCGTGCGCGAACGTTGCCGGTCAGCGCTGGCCGGTCGATCTGTCGTACAATAACGCCGAGCATTGTGTGAAAAGAGCCTGGGCAATCACGAGTTCGACGACAAGATTGGCGGTCTGCTGCCTTACCTGAACCAGGCGAACTTCCCCGTGCTAGCGGCCAACCTGGACCTGAGTCTCGAGCCCGATCTGCGCGCCAGCAAGCGGCTGGCCAAGTCGCACGTGCTCCAGGTTGGCGGTCGATTGGTGGGCATCGTCGGCTACCTGACCCCCGAGACCGCCCAGCTGTCGCAGCCAGGTCGCGTGCGTTTCCTCGACGAGGTGGCGGCTGTGCGCGCCGAGGCCCGGCGGCTCGAGGAGCGCGGCTGCCACATCGTCATCGCGCTCGGCCACTCGGGCTACGAGACCGACCAGCGGATAGCCCGTGAGGTCGAGCAGGTCGACCTGGTGATCGGTGGCCACACCAACACCTTCCTGTACGGCAACGGCCGGCCGGACGAGGGGCCCGACCGCGAGGTGCCCGAGGGCCCCTACCCGACCGTCGTCACGCAGTCCAGCGGCCGCAAGGTCTACGTGGTGCAGGCCTACGCCTACACCAAGTACTTGGGCGATCTGCGTCTCGAGTTTGACGCTCGCGGTGAGGTCAGCCGCGTCGGCGGCTCGCCCATACTAGTGGACGCGCACGTGCCTAAGGACCCGGAGCTCGAAGCCGAGCTAGTCCGCTGGCAGGCGCCCCTCGCGAGCTTGGACGACCGCGTGGTCGGCACTACGCACGTGCTCCTCGACGGTGACGAGAAGGTCTGCCGGCTGGCCGAATGCAATCTCGGTAACCTCCTCACCGACGCCATCATCTACTACGTGAGTTTCGATTGCATTTTTGGCGTTTACTGTCACTCCATTCTCTCCATCGTCTTTTAGAATGCCCAACTGAATGCTGACTTCGAGGACAGACCCTGGACCGACAGCGCCGTAGCCATCAATCAAGCCGGGGGCATTAGAGCTTCGATCAACTTAATGAACGACGGAAAAGTCACCGTGAACGATATCATTACGAGCTTTCCTTTCACCACCAAAGTGTACAAAGTTCAGTTGCCTGGGCGGACACTCAAATCCGTTCTCGAGTGGAGCGTACATGACAGGATCAACAGGAGCGTCAGCTTGCATGGCGGGTCATTTCTTCAAATGTCCGGTCTCCAGGTAACGACTTAGGCTCTCCTAATCAATCGCACGTCATAGTATTCTTATTGGGAGCGTCAGAGCGCAAACGTTACATTCCGTGGTGCATTACCTCTCTCTCTCTCTCTCTCTCTCTCTCTCTCTCTCTCTCATCTACGCAATATCAGCTCTCTATCTCCTCTTTCCTTATCGCGTATCTACACACGTGACATTGCGTTCACCACGCGTTCACTCGTCTGCAATTGTCGCTTACAGGTCACTTACGACTTGGCGAAGCCAGTAGGATCACGCGTTATTTCAGCCAGGGTACGTTGCAGCTTGTGCATGGTACCGACCTACCACGATCTCGATCCTAATACAAACTACACCATTCTGATGAATGACTTTTTGTACAACGGTGGCGATGGATTTCAAATGTTCAAAGGCTTAAAGTACCAAGACATGAGTGAGTGTCGAGCGCAACACGGACCGAGCTCGATGGCCGCCGATTTCAAGCAACATCTTTTATTATCCTTATTCCAGATGTGACTATTGATGACGTGGTAACGAGATACATCAATCGCACCAGTCCTGTCTACGTGGGGCTCGAGGGTAGAATAAGCTTCGTGGAGCACGCAACAAGCTCGGCGGTGTCGCACGTACAACGATTATCGCTGAGCCTGCTAATTCTCCAATTTGTGGCTTTTGCGCGCTTCTTCTGACGACTCGCGCGGACTCTGCCTACCGATCTGACGTATGCCTGCGCGAGCGCGAGTGAAGTGCGTGTTCGACGCGTTTTACAAATTGCACGCGTTTTACAAATTTGTTAACTGCACGATAACACGTCGTCAGCTGGCGGTTTATATCAATTCTGATATAAGCTTCTCTGTGACATTAAAGTTGCCGCTTATGTTGAATGATGTGATAACAATGTGTACGGTCGATTAGCGAAAGCCCGCGAGGACGCGGTACAATAAATAAAAGCGAAAAAGGTCACGGGTGTTTATTTTCTTGCCCCTGTCGCGCGGTTTTTCTTAATTGCGTAGTGAGTTGCGTAGCCACAAGTACCCGAAACTACATGGGTAAGTTCGAGGCTTGAGTCGCAGCTCCGCGAGCGAGTGTGCGCAGAGGCGATTGTTTGGCTATTGGAGCGCCATAGAAACCGCGTTCGCGAAAGCTAAGTGCTGACCGAGAGCACAGCAGTAGCGTCAATTGATAAATGGGATTGATCGAAATAGGCTGACTGGTTGATTGAGGAAAAGCAATGTCGGCGACAGCGGATTACGCTACGCCCATCCTTTACATCAACATGGGAGGAGAAATGCTGTACGTTTTGCAGCAACGGCTGCAGACTCAAAAAATCAGCCCCGATAAAACCATCCAAGGCCAGTTAATTTTCTATATGTCTCGTTTGTCCAAAGCACTCGCGAGCGCACTATCGCACGTTCCTTCCGTACACGACCTGTACGCAACAACAATCTGTAAACGAATGCAAATATGACCGTGAACGAATAGCGAATCGACATTGGCTGAAAGGACAGTGGTTGCAGTGCTGAACGAGGTCATCTTCGCGCTACTGAACCCGAAGCAGTTGGAGCTGATTTGGGTGAAGGGGCCGCTGATGGGGCTGGGCCAGCTGCGCCCAATCCTGGAGCGAGTCGTGCTATCGTCGATTATGAAGCTCGACGCTAATAGCATGGCCAAACTATTTGACCTGATGATTATGATGGTCAAGTATCAGTTGACCACGGCCACCGGGCCCCGCGAGCTAATCCTCTCAAGTCTCAACCACCTGGACGCCATTCGCGACATGGCCGCGACGGATAGTAGCCTAGGAGACCTCGTCGATGCCTGCCACCGCCGTGTCCTTGACGTACGTCGTTGCTCATTATGTACATAATATATATTGTTGTCAAGCATATGACACTCGCAGACTAACTTCGACTTGAATACTGGCGCGTGTGTGCAGACCTACGGCCAGATGATGCACAAACAGGTTTGGCAGATCAGGACCGAGTGCCTCCACGAGCTTCAGCACCACAACGTGCGAGTGTCGATTCTGCTGAGGCTTGGCATGCAGAACCAAGACGCCACGTTCAACCGCCTGACGCAGAGGTACGACGAGAAGTACCAGGACCGCGAGCAACTGCTCGAGAACCTGCGGCTCGTCGACGTCGTCGCGGACGAGGATCCCTCGATAGGTCAGCTTAGCCTGCTCGGTGACCGCGCCACTCTCCTCGGCAAGAACGCGTAAGTTGGCAGTACACCCACACACTCCTTTCTGGTAATGAGTCGCTTCTCACTCACGACTCGATGATTAGGTACTGCACGAGCTACGGCCTGGCCGCGCCGACGTCCTCCTCCTGCCGTAACGTACTCGATCAGCAGACGATTCCGGCTAGAAGCAACAAGGTGCTGAGGCAGGAGCTGCAGACGCTTGCCACGCAACTGGGCAAGGAGGAAACTGCGCCCGCGAGGCCCTTCAGCCTTCAACTGCATTTGCGGCACGAGGAGAACGCCAATCGAGTGGACGAGAGCGCGGTGAACCAGCCGGTCGGCCGACCTACGACCGATGAAAACTACGACAACGCACGCCAATATCAGCTTCGACCGGACGATCAATACAGAAACACTCTCATCGACAACGTCAATGCGCAATTCGCGGACGACAACGACAACGCCACTCGTACTGATAGCGTAGATTTCATGAATTTGTTGGATGTCGTGTAATCAATGTTCATTTTCGTATGCAAGCTAGCCGTTACAAGTGGTTGGGTTCAATTGAGCAGCGCTCTCTTAAAAACTCGTGTTTGTCTTTATTTTGATCAATAAAAATATCATAAAAAAGGCTTATCACGTTATTTACCCGCAACTCGTTAAATCTAATATATATTTTATATTTTTCTGACCACCTGGTTTCAAAGCATTCGTCACTGCTTCCTTGTAGTCTCCAAATGGAACAAGCTGATACGCCGGAGCTTGTAATTTATTGTCTATAAATAATTGTTGCAATTCGTCGAGCATTCTGTGTCGCTCGGCCGTATCTGCATTCCGATTGGTCCAGGCAGTCATCCAAAAACCTTTGAAGCTAATGTCCTGCATATAATAAATACACGTAAACGTTTAGATGGCCGACGAGACCAGTGACTAAAGAAAACTTTTTTGACATTAACCTTGAAGATTAAGGACGAGGCCGGCACGGTCAGTGGCTCTCTTGACATGGCTCCGTAGGTCACCATAATTCCAGCGTGTCCGAGGTGCCTTTGAACTTCCGCTGCGCTTTTACCGCACACGCAATTTAATGCCAACTTGGGCTGGGCCAACTGTTTGCTTTTAAAAATATCGGTCGTTCTCAACTCTTGCTCCGTCAGAACGACGTCGGCGCCCAGGCACAAGAGCTGGTCCTAAATAATCGACAATCGGCTGTTTGAAAAACGTGGGTTGCGACAGCCATAGGCAAAGAAGTCTTGCAAAATAACAGCAACCTTCAAGTTCTGAACGTCGGGTCTTTCGCGAATAACGTTGACGCTTTTGAACCCCCATATCCTGCAGAGTTGAATAACGAATTGGCCTACAGCTGAATTAGCGCCGTTTTGAATGATTGTGTCCCCCTCTTTCAGAGCGACAAAGTCTTTGAGCATTCTGTAGGCTGTGCATGGATTTACATTGAGCATGCTGGCCACGGCGGTATCCATTTGGCTATGTATCTGCGAAAGGACTCGGACAATCGTGATTCGCTAACCGAACAAGGCATCGAACGGGTAAACAAAAGGAAGCAACGCTCACCTTGAACAGCTCATGAGATTCATATATTCCGTGCGTTTGCCACGTTCCTTTATTAACTCCATTGGGCACGACTTTGTCGCCAGGGCACAAGTTGCGGATGTCTGGGCCAACGGCGACTATTTGGCCGACACCTTCGTTACCAGCAACTGCGGGTAGCGGCGGTTTGCTAGGATATTTACCTTGTATCGTGTTGATGTCGGCTGGATTGACCGGCGCATAGAGCCACTTGACCGTAACCTACAATATATCGACCCTATGTTAGTATTGGACGCGTAATTTGCATTTTTGTATTCCACTTACGTGTTTTTGACTTGGCGCTTGGAGACAATCGGTTCTTATTTGAAGAACGTCCGCCGGTTCACCGTATTCTTTGTACACGAGTGACTTGACAACATTGGCGGAGCTTGACATCATTCTCTGTCCATTGAAGATCGATTTACGCAAATGACTTACAACTAGACTGCCGAAATTCGGCCCGATAGGCATAATTGGCATGAGAAATGCTTAAATGATATTATCACAGGTGAGTAGATGCGTTGCGCCGCGCAAGACTGTATATACTTATGGAGTAGGTAACGTATAGGTTAGAGAGTATAGCAGACGTATCGCTGCTTCGTATAGTCGGAGTCGCGCGAATGCGTGAGTGAGCGACTGACGTCGACTTAACCGCGCTTGCGCAGTCGAATTCAAACGCGAGCGAGAGGGCCTAAGCGGCCAGGACACCCCAGTGCTGCTTGACGAGGTCGGCAGCCTTCTCGCCGATCATGTAGGTGGGTGCGCAAGTGTGCCCGGCGACGATCTCGGGCATGATGCTGGCGTCGGCGACCCGCAAGCCCTCGACGCCGTGGACGCGGAGGCGCGCGTCGACGACACCGCCCTGACGGCGCGGCGCCATGCGGCAGGTGCCGGCAAAGTGGCCCAGGGTGGTGGACACGTGGCGAGCCACGCAGGCCCAGTAGTCGTCGCTGGCGAAGCGCGGACCCTCGCAGCCGGGGAAGGCCACCGGCAGTAGGCTGCTGTTGAAGCGGCGGAAGGCCCGCGTGGAGGCGACCTTGAGCGCCTGTGGCGAGAAATAGCGGATAGAGCACGGCCGAGCGTCGCGACTGGTGCTCACTCACAGCCTTGATGCCCCGCACCATGGTGGCCAGATCCTCCGGGTCTTGGTAGTAGTTGGCTTCGAGGCGCGGCGGCAGCAGCGGGTCGGCGCTGCGCAGGCTCACACGGCCGCGGCTCTTGGGCCGCATCAGTATCGGCACGATGCTGAAGGCGTCGCGGCCGCGGTACCCGGCGAACACGCCGCGCTCGAACTGCTCGCTAAGGCCCAGAAGGCTGCGCAAACCGCCCGACATGTCGCCCGTGAGCGCGCCCGCGCCCAGCACCAGCTCGATGTCCGGGTAGTCCTTGGCCGGCGGCGACTGTCCGGCCAGCAGGCTCCGCGTGTCGACGAAGGCCAGCGCCTCGGCGCCACCGGGCACCGTCAGAGGCCCACGTCCGCGCAGAATGTAATCCAGCGCGTACAGCGGGTTGCTGCTCAGCCGCGACTCCACGATGCTCACGCTGTCGTTCACCAGGAAGGTCAGTGCGGCCATGCTCACGTGGTCCTGCGGGTGCGAGCGATCAGCGCCACTGTACTAGCTCCGACTTTTTCCCGCGACACTTTCGCACTCGATACTTCCTCAGAGGAGTCCATAACAAATTTCACTTGGCTAAGCTCTATGCAGTGACAAAGGCGTTTCTGCTTGCTAGAGCTCCGTCACCCGTGTATACGGTGATAAAAATTCTCATCAACACCAGGCAATTTCGCTGCGACCGTTTCTTTGGCATTATTCCCGCGTTGTTGGGGCATTGCGTGACTGGTCGTCGCTAAAATTGAGTCTGAATTCTACCGCTCGTAGTTTAATTTTAAATTTATTGAGAAAAATTTGGGAAACTGCTAAGTAGAGGAGAAATCAATCAATCGAGTTTAAATCGCCGAAAAGAAAGATGATGCCGCGATAGTTTCTACGAAAATATCGGCAGTTGGTTATGGGTATCACGTAGGGCTACCTGCAGGTTGCGGCCCACCCCGGGCAGGTCCTCCAACGTCTCGATGCCCAGCGGGTCCAGCTGGTCACGCGGCCCCAGCCCCGACAGCAGCAGCAGTTGCGGCGAGCCCAGCGCTCCGGCGCAAAGCAACACCTCGCGGCGCGCGCGCGCCACGCGTGGCCGGCCGTCGGCGCCTAGGTAGCGCACGCCCACGGCACGGAGCGAGCGCGGGGGCCGGCGCTCCAGCAGGACCTTGGTGACGCGCGAGCGCGCGGCCACGCGCAGATTGCGCCGGCGCCGCGGGCCCCGCGTGACCGGCTCGAGGAAGGCCTTGCTGGCGCTGACGCGTCGTCCGCCGCGCAGGTTGGCCTGCACCGGCGAGAAGCCCAGGATGCCACGGCCGTTGTAGTCGCGCAGCGGGTAGCCCAGCTCGGCAGCCGCGCGCAGGAAGGGCTCGCGCAGCCGCGAGGCGTACGGCACGTCGGCCACGTCCAGGTAGCCGCCGCGCGCGTGGTAACCCGCGTCCTGGCGACTCAGTCTGCGCAGGCGAAAGCACTCTCCGTTAGGCGGCCGCCAGCCCAGAGGCGCGCGCGAGACCGCCGCGGTTACCTGCTGTTCTCCGACTTGAGGAAGTAGCCCAGCAGATGGTCGTAGCTCCAACCGGGATTGCCGGCGGCCTGCCAGGCGTCGTAGTCGGCGCGCGCGCCCCTCGTGTACAGCATGAAGTTGATGACCGAGGTGCCGCCGAGGGCTCGGCCGCGCGGCCAGTTGCACCTGCCGTCGGTCATCGATAGGCAGTAGCCACGCTCGGCGCTCGGTTCCGTGCGGTAGCCCCAGTTGTATTGGCTGACCTGCATCAGCGGCGCCAGCAGCGGCACGTCCGTCAGCCACGACTCCTCGCCGCCGGCCTCCAGCAGTAGCACCTTCCAGTCGGCGATTTCGCTCAGCCGGTTGGCCAGCACCGAGCCGCCCGAGCCCGCGCCCACGATCACGAAGTCGTAGCTGCCGGCCTCGAGGTCGCCCGTGGAGTTGGCGGCGAGCCCGGCGCCGGGTCCGGCGACGAGCAGCCCCACGGCGGCCGCGAGGCCGAACCACGGCCAGGCCGCGACGCGCGCCACCCTCATTGCAATGGACGAGCTTCGAAAGCACGCTGACGCTGCTACTCCGACTCGGCCGATCGCCGGTCGCCAATTGACGGTCGGAAAAGCTGCAACGAGTCTCGAGCGAACTCGGCCCTCTGCTCTCTCTCTCTCTCTCTCTTTCTCCCTCTCTCAGAGGCTCAAGGCTGCACGTAACGCGGCCCGAAATCACACCTTATTCGCTCTCGGTGCTTGCGCGTCAATTAACAAACGACTCGCCAAGGCCAAGGCGGCGCGCATTCCACCGACTGTGGGTTTCTCGACTTATCCAAGGGTAATATTTGATGTAGTAATGCAGCGCCGTAAGGCCCTTGCTGGCTGTTCAATTGGGAAAGCTTTGGATTAGGCTCGCGCCGCTTCATGGCTAATTTCGCATTCCAAGCACCTCTCGCTCGTCAATGACTCTTCAAATGGCTGCCAATGATTGCGCGTTTTCAGCGTTAAAAGCATCGGCGCGTCGCGTTGCATGCGCGGCGGCGCGTCGACACGCTCAAGACAGACAGCAAGTGTGCAATGCGCCGATCGCCTGACGTTTTAATACCTGTTAGCTTAATAATAGACGCGCTGACTTGGCGCCAATTCGCAGAGGCCGCCTAGCGATAGCCGACTTTTCCAGAGCGTTCCTCAAGCGTTCGCGAAAGCTCGCGAAAGCTCGCGAAAGCCCTGATCTCGAAACCACGGCAATGGGCCGCCAAAACCTCGACGCGATGACTTTTCACGCATTCCGATCCCGCGCAGATGGCACCTGCCATGCTGTGTCGCTCGCGCGCGATATGTCTCGACAGTCCCGATTGGAAGACGCCTCGAATTGCGGCATCGACGGAACATGATTGTTGCGCGAGCCACGATACGCGGCGTGTGAGCGCCGCCGACGGATCAATTCGGGCTCTGTTTTTCCTTAAAATTTCTCCAGCGCGCCGGTAGCAGGCGATTACTTGGCGCTTGCGCAAGTAAAGAGCACAGTGAAAGCTCGCCATGCCACCATTCAGATATCAATGATGCATATCGAAAACCTACCAAACCGCACGCACATCGCCTCTCGGCAATTGGATAATCACCGGGCATGGCTCGCTGATGCTACTACGACAGTACTGAGATTCCGACAGAGGAAAGTAGCGCACCATGGCAATAAAGACAGATGATGTGTCGCGAAGAGTCGCCCAACTGCGTGCGCAGATCTCGCGCTCGTGCAGCGCGCGTTTTTCATCGGGTACGCGAGCTCGCGACCGACCTACATTTCGCTCCACATCTGATTTTTACGTGCACCGGTGTATAGGTACATGTAACACCAAAGAAAATGAAAGTCCATCGTTAAACGCAGGTCTTACTTCATGCACTTGGCCTCTTTTCTCATCATCCAAGTGTTCGCCGCCGATAACTAATTGCTTCGTTCGATAAACCTCCATTCGAAATCGTTAGTTTTTCGGAGAATAATTATCTTCATTTTGCGCCATGAATCGTTCAAGACCGACCAACAACTCTGATAAAACTGATGGACTGATCAATACGCGCCTCGGCATTTCAACACCATTTGCAAGCGCCTCTGCTTGGCTAACGATCTTCGCCGTGAATACAAACAATGCAGTCTTTTCATATGCTGATATTCGAGTGGACGTACTCATTGAACATCTAATTGAAGGCCTTATCGGTTAAGGACATTCTCCTGAAAATTACTTTTCTTGTGATTTTCTTCGAACGTTGAAAACAAGTCCTTTTTTCATTACCTGCACTACAGAACAAAATTCAACATATAAACTGAAACTTACGCAGGAAATCACGTAATCTCGATGTAACGTAATCCTGTGTTATATTCAGCCAATTGTTAACTAGCTAGTTCGGCAAGTTGGTATTCTCTCTAAGCAAATTCTTTTGTCCATGCTGCTTGTTCAAACCGCGATATCATGCTTTCCAAGACTGATTCAGAAAATTCTCCGGAATTTAAAAGACGATTTATATTAGTTATTGAAACTTGCTGATGCCGTTTTTTATCAAAATCACGTCAACTCACTTGATAAAAAGTAACAGTAAAGTGCTCGCAACTGCTGGTTCAAACTTTGACATATCTATATGGTTTTCCGTTGATCGTATATAAGTCAAACGTTGCACCTTAGACTAATTTCTAGGCATCTTGTACAATCCCTCCAAACCTCTCTATACCTCGTTAAATTGTACCTCTGCAGCATTCCATATGAATGTAGTTGTTGAAGTCGCAATAACAATAATATATACCATTCCTATAACGATAACAGGCAATTCCTTACAATTGTGGCATTTACTAATTTATAATTATAATTATAATGTTATTATAATAATGTTATTATTATAATGTTGCATTAGTAATGTCATCAGTAATACATTAGTAATGTATTCGCTTGTCTTTTAAACGACCTTCAGGCTTCTGTTTCACTCTACCATTTTCTTTGCGCTTTCTTTCGTCAATCTCTATCTTTATCCAAGTTTTTCTCTGCTTAGTAAAAAAAACATTATTTCATAAAGTAAGTTTTCGTATAGCATAAGATGATTTTTTGTTTTTAATATATATATTTTTTATTATTATTATTATGATTGTTATTATTACTATTATATAATAGTCATTCTTAAAAACCATGAAATTACTTTAATCATTTATCTTTTTTACGTAAATTGTAATTTTTCAAAATGATTATTTTTGACATTTTTGTAGTTTAAAATTAATTCATTTGTAATAAAAAATGCAATATTTTGAATATTAAACGATATGATAATTAATGGCAAGTATTATTCCAGTACGTGAATTTTGACTCAATTGTGAGTCAAGTATGAATTATGTTGTTTCTTCTCTTTCGAAGATATAGTTATTATTTAGCAATGAGATAAGATATGTAGTCACAGAAAGACATGCTGTAACGGTTGGATAAATAAATAAATTATTCAACACCGTTAACGATAATTCCATCTTCGATGCGAGGCTAACCACTGCCTCGATCCGCTCCTGATATGCCTGATATTAGTGCGCACACGTTGCGCGCGGCTGAAAACGAGTGCGAAAGCACAAAGCAAATCAACAGAAGTATGAAATCAAGGGTCAGTTATCTAATGCGAGCATGAATTAGTGGGATATTAAATAGGCGAACATGAAGTGTGACGTGAATTAGAATAAAAAGTGCGATCTTTATTTCGTCTTTCTGCGACAATATAAATTACAATAGTTCACAGTGGAAAGAGTTACAGGAAAGATTTATGAAAAACAATCGAGCCAGGTTCATCCCGAGATCAGTAAGTGGGCTGTGGTTACCATTCATGAAAAGTCGAATTGTGCAGGATCATCAAACATTACCTACCTTGCTTTTCTTCATCTACCTTTAACATGTCATAAATACATCTCGACATTAATGTTGACCCTTTTTGCACTAGTTAACCGACATGATCTTTGAACCTTTAAACCACGAGTCTATTTCGCTTAGAAAAACACACTTCAAAAGTCACTCATGTTAACTTTTTGCTGTCGTTAAATGGCTCGGTAATTCCACTGCTGCAATCAATGCCCTTCGTATTTTCCCCCTTGATTTGCATTGGTGCGATTCTCTTACAAATACAAAAAACCGACACAATTATAAGGGCAACTTATTCTTTGAGAAATATTTTGTAAAGAAAGCACTTGCAGAAATTCATGCAGATGTGGAAGAAAAGCTTCAAAGAGATATTCGATCAAACTTTTGTTACCAGCAGAGTTATTAAATTATTACATATGCAAGATGCTATGAAAAAAGTAGCTGTTTTTTTAAACGAGGACTATTGAAGAATCTTCTTCGCAAAACCAGAAGTCCTTTGGAACCATTACGTTTGGTTTGTATTGAATGTGACAGGGATATCTAGAAGTTTCTTACCATAGTAAGACGACCTTATAAAAGCTCTAATCTCAATAAATGGCAAACTGAAACCTCTTCCTCAAAACCGTATACATGAAGACAATCCATGGGTTCTTAAAATTTTGCGACACCCTTTTCATATGCTGGATGAGCGGCTGGGTCTCTTTACAGACAGCTAGAATCAAAAGGAAGAAGAAAAGGGCCAAGTCCAACAAGATAACGATACCGTTTCTTACATCCGTCAACAGACAATCATACTCTGATCACGATTCTGATGCAAGAGTCTCATAATTCTATAGCAACAAGCTCATGAAAAAGTCGGCCAAGAAAATCGCGAGGGGAGAAAAGAAGGACGAGGGAACAAAAAAGTAGACGGCGAGAATGCGAAAAATGGTCAAAAAAAGTCGGCCCGAGTTAGCTGCTTCTTTTGCCGATCGAAGCGATATTACCAGATATTACTCCTCGTCTAGTCGCGTGCCGCTCTCCCACTTTTACCGCGCGCCCGCATACTTTTCTACGGTGCACTTCCAAATTTTCGGCCGGTCTCTCACGTTCGCGCTCGTTATTCCGTCGCAATTGGTCCTTATTACATGCGCGTGACTTACGATTATTAATGACGGATTTTAACAAAATTGTATATGAAAACACTTTAATGTAATATTTTGTTTCGTTTATTATAATATATAATAGTTGACAGATATTCAAAAATGTTATTTCTGTAATTTGAATTTAATTGTTAGCTGTGGTACAAAAATAGATATCGAAGATTTTCAAGTCTTATATGGTTATGATGTTAAAAAATAGTCAGCTGTGTGTTTGTATGGACAATGAAGTATATGGACAATGGACTAAACCAATAATAAAAATATTAAAGTTTTCTATAATATTGTAGGTAAGTCATTCTTTTTACCTTAAATCAGAATTAGTAAAAACATCGTATTCTTCTTTATTTAATAAAGCTTTATAAACATTGTCAATTTTCACTTTTAAATCAACAAAATGCTTTTCCGCATTACACTTATCTATATCACCGAATAAAGCAGACCTAATGAATGACTAGATCGGACTTTAGATCGATTGAAAAATGTCACATATTCCAAAAATAATTTTAAACAAACCATGAAAGTCTTCTACAGCGGTATAATTTTGTCAGTGAAAATTAACCAAACGTTCCCTTGTCCAGATCTTGGCAAATAAAATGGAGATGATGTTATCATAACTAGAATGTAAGAAAATAGTATATACCTAATATATTTGGGAGAGATTCTCATCTCGTGTGCCATTCCACCTTCGCTTTGCTCGGGCATAAACATCACACGAGACAATAATCTATTTTCCCGCACTAGTAGGGTAATGTATTATACTTTTTAGCGTATATTTTGTTAGAAAACTTTGTTTATAAACTTATAGATATTTTCACATACACTTTGATGGTTTTTATTATTTTCTAAATCTGCATCCTGATATAGTTTTTCTTAAGAATTAATACTTTTCACTTTTAACAAGTATTTAACACAATCAAACTGCATAAACACATTAACTTCAACAAAATATTTAAAACTTTTAGATACTTTTCAAAATTGCCAAAAGTAAAAATATTTAAATAAAATTATTTTTACGTTTTGTTGATAAATGCAAATTTTGAACCATGAACGATTACAGAAACCACTCTGTCAACAGAAATTCTCAACCTATTACTATCGTTGTATTACTCAAATTCCATTCAAAAAAATAGTACATTTCCTAACGGGTGCGTAAAGGCTTTTTTAAGGAAACTAGAAGTTTACGGCACGAATCAGAAGCGAATGCTGGAACGAGTTTCATCAAAAAGCCTTTTCATATCAGCAAATTACAATATGTTCCCGTATGAAAGCCGGAACCAAGAGCCGAAAGTGCAATTTCAAAATGTCAGATAATAAATTCAGTTATATTATACAACATAACTGCTATTTCTAATCGGATATCTAATAAAAAATTTTCTTGTTACTCATTTCTGTTTACAAGTGAGATTTTAAACATCTAGAAGCATAATTAATGGCAATGAATAAATTTAAATATAGATATATTGACGTATAAAATATAAAAATCTTGTGTACCTATAATATTCAATAATTCTATCAGCTTCTCGAAATCCAGTTTCAATGGCTCCATGTACTGTTGAATAAAAATGTTCATGAGTAGCCTCCCCAGCAAATAAAACAATCTATAAGAAAGTCAAGTATTTACCAATTCATTAGCTTATAAAAATTTTTAATTTTAGCATGATTTTATACTTATGTTAATATTACCGGATTATTATTGCTGGCTTCTATTGGCTTGGATAAAGAATTACTATCAATTCCTAATTTTTCAGTTTCTAAACTGCGATAACTATACGAACCTCTGACATGTTTGTCACTATACCATTTTGATCTAAAACATAAATGAAAAAACCTATTACATTTGCTATAAGTAAATATTATAAATTTTTTATCAAATTTTACCTCACAATAGATATTGGTTTGGGAATATCATAAATATGACCCAGAAATATTTGTAATATTAAATAAAATTCATTTAAAACTTTTTCATCTGATAACGTTTCTGCATATCTTGAGCTTGGACCAACAATCCATCCAGATAAAATTCGTGGTTGATAGTCAACGGTGAAAAATAGAAATAGATCACATAGCCAAGATTTATCCTAGAACAGAAACATTAACTGCATAAAATGATTTAATACATAAACTATATAAACAATGATTATCAATCATGTCATTTTACATTGCCATATTTTTTTAAAAAATTCAATTTTTGTTTTTCTGTCCACATGAGGCATAAAGCTCCAGCATTTTTTGGCCACCATTGATGTGAGAATTCCAAAAAAAATTTATTTGTTACACCAATACTCAAACCCTTTCAACAATAATAAAATATTTAAACTTTAAATATCGTCACATTACAAAATTATAACATTGTTTTAATTTTTAAAACCTTGATAGCGTCAATTTTTAATTTAGATAGAGCAGGTTTAAATAACGTTGAATACTGTTCCTTTAATACACCCAATGATGGTGTAAAAATTACGTTAGACACTTCAAATACTGAATTATCGGTTGTAACTACTTTTATATTATTCTCTTTAGAATAATCAATAAGCGAAACTTCCTTATTAAACAAAATTTTTTCATAAACAGGAAGGGGCTTATTTCCATCTGGATAATTTCGCTATGAAATAAATAGAATTTAAATAAAAATTGCAATAATTGACAATAAGCAGGTATACATACAGTTAATAAATCAAATATTTTTGAGTATCCATTTGTCTTCCAATTTAAAAGAGAATCTCCTTTACATTGCCAATAATCCTTCAATCTTATAGCTGAAATATTATACCAAGTATCACTACATTCAATAGAATTTTCATAATTATGCAAAAAATTTAGAATCTCCTCTTCTTTTCCTTTGGTTATTAATGGATTATTATAAATTTCTTTGTAAAATCTAACATAGAATATAAATATTTACGTAAAAATTTTATCAAACAATAATTCTATTTCTTTTTTTCAAATTCGTATGTTAATTACTCTTGTGTAAAATAATCGCCATAAGAAGTCCCTGGTTTATAATCAATTTCCTTTGCCATATCTGCAATCTTATTATAAATTCTTATGATTTCAACTGATTCTTGTTCTGAAAGAACTTCACCCAATGAATTAACAAAAATATGTTTTGATGGATTGTTAATGTTGCTAGAAGATTCTAATAAATTGTGAGGTGAAGCAAGGCTGTAAATAATATTATTTTCTTCTCCATGACACCATTGAGCTCCTAATTCAAGAATATTTTCAGCTAAAAAAATTATTTTATGTAATAATTTTTTATTAATAAAAGATTTCATATTTTTTTTAATTAGTTATACTTACAAAATTTTACTGTATGTATTCTTCCTCCGATTCGATTTTTTGCTTCAAGAATCAATACATTATTTAGACCTTTTTCTATTAGACGTGAAGCAGCAGCTATTCCTGCTGCACCAGCTCCAATAATTATTACTTTTGGTTTAGTAACCATTCTTATAAAGAAAAATTATACTGTTTTTTAATAAAAATCATTTCACATGACAACTATTCGTATTGCTAGTAATCTAGATATATATAACCTAACTCACCTTTTAATTTAAATATTTTCTTAACTAACAATTTCTCTGAGCGTTTTCAGCTTCAATTTGAATCTATTACTAAAATAAATAGAGTATAAAGGCCGTCTAGAACTAGAAACCATATAACTACTCCTCATGCATACAGCGCGACTGAATCTACGGAAGCCCGGTCATGACATGAGCGATACATGTTACTGTGCACAAAACGAGTTGCCGTGCAAATTGTCGTGCACAAAACGAGTTGGCGTGCAAGTTGTGCACACGTCGCGTTGGTCATTGGTCCATTTGCGAAGACCAAACCTAACCAAAAACTATTTTGAATTTTAAATGGTACTTATCGCTAGACTCTAAGAGTAGTGTAAAAAACGATTAACAACATTAATAAAGTAATAATATTAAGAAAGTAAGTTAATGATTTGAACAATATTTGACGACACCTTTATTTAAATTTTTGTATAACAAGTATGATTACAATTGATATTAACTTTAAAAGTTGTTTTCCGCGGGGTGGATTGGGATTTAGTTGACTAGTCTTCCGTAACTAAAAATTTCAAAATAATTTTTGTCACGCACGCGCAATTTTATTTCGATTTCGAGTTAAAAATTAATCGAGCTATGATTAATCGATGACTCAAATAATCGACTCGATAATCGATTATGTACGAAAATAATCGGACGATTATTAAACATCGATTAAAATCGTCCATCACTATTCCGTTCTGAACCTGACTGAATGCACCGCTACTATATAAATAGGAGGTGAAATATCGATAAGGATATTTCTTATTTTTTATGAGAAATATAATGGTACAATAATAAATAATTATTTTTTCGAGAAGTACAATTAGACATACGTGAGATGTGATCATTTTTTTTTCTAAAATGTTATTTGTGTCGGGCTGTCTTCGCATCGGTGATTAGCAGATGTCGATTTCTAATAGGTACAAAACATCTTCCATTTTGGAAGTGTCTATTTTATTGAAAATTCAAAATATTGTTTTCGCATGTATTGTGATAAATTGAGAAATTCTAAGTACTTTAAAATTCCATTATATTTAATAAAACAATATTGTTTTTACAAATAATTAAAAGTGATTTGGATGTGAAAGAGTAATGACCGAAATATCATAAAATATTAAAACTATTTTATTATTGAGTATGATTAAAAAAAACATTTTTCATTATACATAAAGACATATAAATTAACATTGATGATACATTCAATTATAAATAATTCATAAACATCTCAGCGTATGAAAATCTACGTATATTTTTAGAGTCTTTCAAATTAACGTTAACATTTAAAATTTTCTCGAAATGCAAATACTACATGGTTATAAAGCACCAACCACATACTTGTACAATATTACATTAAATAGCATCGGTTTGCTTTTTAATAGTATGCTCATGAAAATAAAATAAAATATCGACAAATATAATCGGACTCGTTACATAAAACAAAAAAAATAGTAAAAAAATCTATCCTTGAATGTATATAATATATAATATCTTTACACAAAATCTCTCGCATAAATAAGAAGCACTTTGGTTATGACTCGTTATATACCCTCACGTGAGCATCACAACATAACGCACACACGCACATTAAGAGAAAGTGATATTGGTTCGCGTGCTAAATTTTGATTTTGTTATCAAAAGTCGAATGCGTGAATTTACAGAAAAGAGCGACGGGAGTCGGAGGACGACAGGAAGACACAGGTAAAGACAACAGCAATGCTAGCGAGTAGCGACGTGGACGAGGAAGTCGATGATAATGGGTCGTCTTGCCGTTTGCCGGCGTTGATGCTGCACACGTCGCCGCACTCCTCGCCGTCGCAGATGTCGCAGAGCGTCTTCATTTTCGGCTCGTAGAACACTCGCGCTCGCCTCGCTGCAAGAATAAATGTGTAATCCAAGTATTTATTCGATGAATTACTCGTTGGATCGCCTGTTGATCGATGAGACGCGCGACAGCTTACATGAGTCATAGTAGTCGTATATCGACACGGGAATGGGCTTTTGCTTGGCTATCTTGTGCGTCCGGTAAGCCGACACCGTAGGACAGTACTCCTCTCGAGTCATCTGGAAGACCATTCGTCGAAGGATGTGAAACTCAATGAAAATAAAGAGGGTTTTTCTTGTTATCTATTCGCAACATAAAAATGCCCAATAAAAACCTTGTCAAAGTACAAGACGACCATGGTGTCGCCGTTTCTCGTTTCCACTCTCTTGACGTGCTTCGATAGCTCTAAGCTCGGCAAGGCATCTTGATCGACGGTGAAGCCCGTCGGCAAGCTCACTTCCATAACGGCCATGTTGCTCTCGTTTGCCTCCCTGGTTGGGATGAATCTGTGAATGGGCGAGTCAGTGGTTAAAGGGACGCTGTGGACGATGGCAACGCGATAGCTTACCCTGAACAGATGGAAAGTTGCAGATGGTCAGCGGTAGAAATGGTGTCGACCTGCGGATCCAGAGTGAAAAGCGGGAAAGCTCCGGTGACGTTGAGGTTGTAGCGAGACGTGAGTTGCACGAGAGCGAATCCGGTCCCGCTGGCCGTCAGGTTGATCGCCCGAGTCTTTCCGAGCAGCTGGCAAAAGGCAGGGCCGGTGAGAGCTAGCTCGCCGAACTCGCTCGTGGCGAATCGAATATTCGCGCTATCCTTACCACGTGCTTCTGCACGATCATGAAGTTCTGCGAGTTGATGTGGATTTCCCTCTGTTCCCCCTGGTCGGTGGCGATCTTTACGGTCACGTCGTAGATGCTCGTTCTAAGCTTCTCGGCCAGCTTGGACAAGGCGAACAGTCCCACAACCGTGTCCTGAATTCGAGCGATCGTACAGAGAAGATTACGTATAAACGAAAGGGGGGGGGGGGTGCGCGGACGAGAGGACCGACCTGCGTGGAAGCGAAGCCTCCCTCGACGTTCCTCTGCTTGACGAGCCACTTCATGATGGAGGTGGCGTCGGTGAGCATGCCCCGCCTGACGTACGACACGAGGGCATAGGAGGTCATCTCGACGTCGACGCCGCGCGACAGCGAGAACCAGGGGTTCTTCTTGTCCTCCTCGGGCACCGGCTTGCTCCACCACTTGAGGTCTTCCTTGGTGGTGGCGCGCGCCTCGAGGCTCCTGAAGGCGTCGTCCTCGTAGGTGTTGCGGGCCAAGCCCAGCGCGTAGGTGCAGATCGCCAGGGCGTAGTTGTCGTCGAGCGACTGCATGTTGCGCACGACGTAGTCGATGCCCTTGTAGATGGCATTCCTGTAGCGGCCGTTGGCTCCGTCCTCGATCTCGAGGAAGGCCGTGAGCACGTAAGCGGTGAGCGCGAGGCCTTTGGCCGCGCCACCCTGCATGTCACGGTGACTGACCGTGCCCACCTCCGGGAAGCTGCCGTTCGCTGCCTGCTTCTCGGCCAGCCATTTCAGTGCCTCGGACACTACTTCATCGTCCACCGTGATGTAATCCTTGGCTTGGTGGAACGACTTGGCGACGAAAGCCGTGAGCCTGGCGACGACAACTCTGATGCTCGATTCGGCAATTTGAATTTTCGAATGTTTCGGGTCTTACCATGTGCTGCCGCTTGGATCGGACTTGCCGAATGCGCTGAACGAGCCGTCTTTGTGTCTGTACGTCAACTCTTGCTGGTAACCAGTTTCCAGATACCTTATAGCTTTGTTCTCGATCGCTGGGGATAATTGATTGGTATTCTGAAAACATTCAACGTTGCTTAGCGCTCGCCGAATTCAAGCTCTACTTTCTGCGTTCTTACCTGTAAGTATTCTAAAATCACAATATTTGGCACGAAGTTGAGCATGTTCTGTTCCCCACAACCAAATGGCATTTTCAACAGCTTCGCTAGATTCGGTATGCTTGGTCCCAAAATGTCACCTTCGAGCAAGATTTATTTTATTCCATCACGTTTCAAGCAACTGACCGAAAGTAACGCCTTACTAACCCACTGCTGACACTTCGACGTACTCCGAATCAGCCACGAAGTATTTCGGTATGTCGACAGTGACATTGGCCTTGACTGAATCTTGCTCTCTCAGATCGGCAAACACGACTTTGTTTCTGTACTGCGTTTCTCCTTCGGCCTATTTTTTCATCACATCAATTTCTCGAGTGTCATCGGAGCTTCAACAAGGCGAACATTTATCTTTACCTTAACCAGAAGCGAATGCTGCACGATGTCACCGGCCATCACGCTAGTTGCCTTCACTTTGATCGTGATGTAATTCAGCTTCGTTGGGATAATCATGAACGACACGCTCTTCGCAGTGTTGGCCGGCACGAATATCTTCTTTACTCGGCTCAATTCGTACTCTACCGTGGAAAATCGAGGCCGTCAAATTCAAGCCGAAAAATTGTTACGAGGGAGGTCCCAACATCGTACATACGTTTGGTGTCATGAACTTCGTTGGATACTTCAGCGAACTCGTACTCGTCGCTGTGCTCGAGCTTCACCTCGACGTTCAGATCTTTGTTCATGTAGTTGAACACTACAGCCGGTATCGCGACGATTTCGCCGCGAATCACGGAGTAAGGCAAGTTCAGCGACACGAAAAACGGCTTAAAGGCTTTTATCTGTAAATAAAGTATCACGCGGATGCAAAGTCGACTTGCAAAGTGGTGCCCAATGAAAGGTTTAAATTACTTTTCTCGGAGCCTCGATGAGACCCAATCCGGAAGCTGCGTTGACGGAAAAACCGGACAAAACCCAGGATGTAATGGTGTCAGGCATGGTTCGCCTGATTACAGTTTCACCTTCGTGCCTGTTAGATTTTTCAATGAGAAGTTCATTACGCAATCCGCGACCGATCGACGGTGTAGATCAATTTTCGAATAATACAAAACTTTGGAAAAGGTCGTTACAGAGGTACCAAGGGTCAATAAATAATTTACAAAAGTAACTGTTAATCTTGAAAAATGAACAGGGGAAGAGATAATATTTTATACAATTGGTAAAAAGAAGCTATATTTCGTGTATGTATGAAAAGTCATGAAGGATGCGAACCAACAGTGACCGCTGAATGTACGTGAAAAGAGTAAGGTAATGTACGCAATGTTTCAGAGTAAAAGTGCGATATAAATAATCCTCGCGCCAGCGTTGCGGTTGTATTGAATTTTTAACGGCAGCATGGATTATTTGTATCGTAGACCATCGAAAAAGCAAATCGTGCTGAAAGGGTTGTTACTAAAAAAATCTAATTCTACGTCATAGACAAAAGAAAAATCCAAGTTCAACTAGTTTTCACACAAAAACAACTGCGAGCAACAAAAGGGAGAGAGAAAGAGAGAGAGTGAAATGCATGTTTATATACCCTGAAGACATGTTTGCGAAAAGCCAAGTGTCAGAGATGTCATGCATAAGGAAAACGCGTGGCCTGCGAGCCGTGAGCGGCACGTAAGAGAATGCCCAGCGACCCGCCCATCCGGGTCTGGTTGGGAATTGGTATTTGACTGGTGGACCAATGTCGGGTCGTATTGTCGAGATCGATAGGCCCTGATTTGGATTCCTCAACCTGTTGGCGTCCTCCAGCACTGCAATTACCACCACAATATGTTTTTCGCTACCTCTTACCACACTAATTTCGCACTCTGATGACTTCGGATGCTTTCGTTCTTTGCTGTTACGAGAACGAGAGATGGACGACTCAAGTACTAATAAATCCGTGCGATCGGATATATCGATTGGCAAATTATCCGACTCTCTCGTACTCATATTTTAGTCAAATTCGTTAGTTACTCATAACACTAAAATTATATGAATTAAAAAGATGTTTATTGTATTTACAAGGTATTAATCACCAAAACCGAGTTATACCTACCAATCCTGAGCGAAAAGCCGACCAGCTTGCGTGCAAAAAGCAACAATGATACGTATGACACAAGAGAGAGAAAGAGAGAGAGAGAGAGAGAGAGAGAGAGAGTGTGTGTGTGAGAGAGAGACGGAGAAACAGATGACGAGTGAGGTAGGAAGGGTACTTGAAATAAATGAAAATTTACCGGACGTCGACCGCCTCCCATATCCAAGTTTCGGGAAAACGCTTGCGAACTTTGAGGTCTCCTGAGGCTAAGGTGGACGGGCTTGCTGTGGCTGCGGCCGAAAACATCACTGCCGAGTCCAAGCTATTTCTGTAGTATACTATATAAGTGGCTCTCGGTTAGACATGAATGACCAAGCAATGTCGCTTCTGTTCGCTCTTTCGTCTTTTCGAATGCGTAACAAACGAATCGCAATGGCGACGCAACAATGCGCTTTCTCGTGTTAGATCATTGCTTTCGTTGATTATACGTGGGACGAGGTAAAGGAGCCAGCCACCAAATTGAAAAAGTTAATGAGTGCGTGCGTTAAATTGACAAATGATCGTCTTTGAGCTGTCGCATGATTCGAATGGCCACGACGCAGCAGAGCGTACCGTGACAAATGGCAATTAATTAATGAATCGAGCGTGAAACAATGAGCACGATGCGGCTGCATTAGTACACCTAATGCTTGCTTTTAAAATGCGTTAGCGAGGCACTTGATGCGCTTGCGCATACTTACTCAGTTGGGGATTCTCGTGCACGTAGCCGTTGGTCAGAACGACGGATCCAGTTTTCTGTTGGACAATAAATCGTCACAGAGAAGGCGTGGGAAGCACGACAAATCGATCGAGCGCGTCAATGACCAACTTACGCGGAAAACCTCGTCGGTGCTCGCCGAGCCGGGTCTGACCCATGCGTGCGCGTAGCCCTCGTCACCGTAGAAAGCGGACTCGTTGGTGTCGTACGACATGAGTTCCTTGCGCACCTGGTCCTGCATAAGCGTTCGGGTCGTTATCTCGAGCTCGCAAGTTATCCTTCGACGAGACTTACGTGGGTGAGGTCGTTGCCGGACTTGAGCAGGATGGATCGCTGATCGACGGCCAGCAGGCCGACGTACGAATTGGGCTTGGCACTGATCGTCAGCGTAACGTTGTCCGCGGGCTCGAACTCGTCCGCCACCGTCCTGATGTCGACCTGCGGCACGAGGGCAAAGCGTGAAAGTGGCGCCAGGGCGTCGACCGACCGCTAACGACGCGTCTTACGAAGTTCTGCAGAGTGCCGCCGAGCTCCACGTCCAGAGAGTCCGCGACCAGCTCACCGTCCGGCTTGACGTAGTAGACCAGCACGTGGGCGACAGGAGCCATTACGTAGGTAGCGAGAAACCTGTCGCAGAGACAAAGTGCCCGTGAATTGCGACTCGCAAATCGAGCGTGCGCGAGACTCACTGGAAGGTGGCGGTGTGCCTGTCGGCAATCTGAATCGACGCTGCGTAAAGCACGTCCCCGCGACCGAGGACCTGATAGCTGAGGTACTGCAGCGGGCTGGTGGAGTTGACGTCGATGTCCACGTAATCGCCGACCTGCGGAACGCACGCGCGAGTCAGCTACGAGAAAGCGCCGCCGAGCACGCGCGAAACATACGTATGTTCTCTCGTGGCGTACCTTGGGCCTCTCGGAGCGCAGCGTCGCCTGGATGTAGCTGTCGCTGCGCGAAGTGGCGGGACTGGTCGACGGGAACCACTCGTGCAGGTTCAAGTACTGCGCCTGCAAGCAAGTTGGCGTCGCGCAAGTTGTGAGCACACGCGGAAACGGCGGGGAGGAGCGGCGCTCGTACCTCGATCCTCAGTGGTCGGTAGACGTTCTCGGGCACGAGCGCCGGGTAGAAGTCGAGCTCGATCATGCCGTTCTTGTCGAGCATCCTCGTCGCGTTGTCGAGACTGTCCTGGTCGTAGGTGTAGCCGTAGGAGACGTGCACGGGATTGGTGTTGTCCTGCACGGGCGTGCCGTCGTGGTAGGTCACCTTCAGCTGCAGCGCCAAAGTCAGAAGCGCGCACGCGGCTCGTTTTACGAATGCTCACGGGCGAGGGAAGAAAAAGGAAGGAAGGAGGCACTCACGAAGGCCGTGTACTTGAGGCCAGGCTTGTAGTATTCGGCCGTTCTCAGCAGCTCCATCGTGTACTTGTGCTTGTGCAGGGTGATCTGCATCGAGCTGTTCTGTCGTCTGCCGGTCACCGCTTCCTCGACCGCCACCTCGATCACTACCGGTCGCCTGTAGTCGTCGTCCGTCACCCTGGAAAAAGCCGCGGAGCGTCGTTCACCTTGGTCACCTCGCTTTAGTCCGCCTCGCTTCCGAGCCTTACCTCAGATCTTGGAAGATGTCAAAGTCCACCGAGGCTTTCCCGTCGATCGGCACCACTTTACGTACGGGATTCTGATAGATCGGCTGTATCACCGACGAGTAGATGTCCGGGAATGCCGTCACTGTGGCCTCGCCCTTCACCGGCTTGCCGTACGTGTACCTGCGGCAGTCGTCCGAGATACGCGTCAGCCTCGGGAGCCTTCGACTCGCGCGCTTCACTCGTCAACGGAGCTTACTTGGCGTGAACGACAACGTTGATCTTGCCCTCCTTGAAGGTGGCGTGGACAGGCGCGTCGATGGTCACCTCGAACTTGGGCAGCACGTACTCGGCGACCTGTATGACCTTCTTCGTCGTCTGGCCGCTGACGACGCCGACGATCTCCCAGTCGCCCAGCACCGGCGACCGCGACAACTCTAGTTCTCCCGCGAACACTCCTTGGTGCAGCCTCGGCTTTTTCCACTGCTTTATTCGGTTGCCTTGGCCGTCCTTCGACATTCACGCGAACGTCAGTTGTCTCGGTCTCGGCGTTCCGAAGAAGCGCGCGCCAGTTGTCTCCGCGAGGACATTACGACACCGCGCGCGCGCGCGCGCTGCAAGCTGGCGCGCCTGGGCAGCTTCTATTTCACGATTTCTCGATTCGCGCAACCTCCGTAATGTACGCGCGTGCGCGGAGAACCAAGATTGACGCCGAACAACGTTGGTCGTTAGCGACATTAGCGCGTCGACTAATGTCGGAGCTAATGGTCGGGCGCCCCAAAGTGCCCTGCTCGAATTACAGTTCGTACTCACCGTGATGTAGACATCGAGTTGCGAGTCAGGTGGAGGTCTGAGCCTTGAGTCGAGGACGATGCACCGGAACTGAATTTTGCTGCCGGGTTTGTAAACAGCGCGGTCGGTCTGGATGAATACCGAGTAACTCTTGGCGACGTAATCGAGCTCGGTCGAGTTGCGAAATTGAAAGTCGCCGACTCCACGAGCCAGTAGTTGATATTTGCCCGCGCCTACATCGCCGATCTGTAATTATGTCAGGTGTTTGCAGAGGTCCATTGCGCATTCAATTTTGCCGACGGGATTTCGGTCGGGCAGGCATTGCACAAGCAGGTCTTCGCGCGGGGGACCGTAGCGAGACGTTGCGCGCGCGCAATTGCTGCGATCAGAGCGAGGCTCTTGTCGCGAGATTGCGCGCGATTTCTTCTCTTTTCTCTTTTTCTATTTGGTGGCCGTTCGACCGTCCGCGCGCATAACGACGAACGCGAGCGTACAATTTTTTCCCCTCGCTAATGGCCAAACGAAAGGAAAACAACAACGGCGATGCATCTCTCGAGCGGGGCGTGTTCTTTCGCGGAAATAATAAACGAGTCCACTCGTGATCGAGCCGCGCGCGCGATAAACGTGTACACGGGCGCGCGCTGTACATCGACGTGACGAAAATTAAAGAGACGAGCCTCGAAGAGAGATAGAGAGAGAGAGAGAGAGAAATTGTGAAGAGCGAGCCGGGATCGTAACTGTTGTTTTTATGAATTATGTAATGGCCGCGTCATCACCGCGTTGCCCCTCCGGGAAAACCGCGCTTCCTCGTGCCCATTATCGCCGCGCGGCAAAACGCGCAAAATCTATTGTTCGCTCAGCACGAAACAGAATGACTTTTCATCGTCGAGAGAGAGAGAGAGAGATGTAACGGTTTGTAACGGATGCATCTGATTACGTGTGCATAATGCACGATCGATTCGCTTACGAGGAACTCGGGGCCCGAACGAGCGCGGTAGGTGTTACGCGAGTGCCACTTGTTTTTTGGCCGCTTAAGGACTGACCGTCGCGAGTGCGCTTACCGAGACTCGCTTGTGAAACGTTTGACCGTCCGTGCGAGCGCTTCGTCGCGAGCTCGCCGATTCCGCGATCCCGAGGCGCATCGATCGAATTCAATAAGGATCGCACAAGCGAGGAGAGAAGCGCGATCGCGTTCGCTTGTGTCTTTCTTCTTTTCTTCGTGGGCGCCGTCGGGGAAACTCGCGAGAGTTCCTGTTTACCTCGTCGCATTTCCGCGCGAAACAATCGCCGAGCGCGCCGGAGTAGAACGAGCATTGAAATCTCCCCGATTTAATCTCGCGGCGCGCGCGCGCGGTTATGTGCATTTTGCGCGCGCCTTTGCTCGCGAGCGAAATAATAATGTAGGCCGCGTACTCGCAGACGGCGGCTCGTGAAAAACGGCGAGCGACGATCTCCCGATTGTCGTCGCGCAGCGCGGAACGTAACGCGCGGCACCGAAGTCGCATAGTGGGTCACGCTCCAGTTGCGACTCTCCGCGGCGGCGCTTTTCCCTCGCGACCTTCCGGTTCGGCGCTTATGGTCGCGGTCCGATCTCTCTTACCTGGAGCCTGACTATGCGGGTCGCGTAGGGCTCGACAACGATGGTGTCGAACACGTTGAAGGGACTGCCGCTGTCCAGTTGCGCCGATACCTCGACGAAGATAGGCGTGGGCTGCGATGCGCCGACGATGCTCATGGCCACGTGGTAGTCGGAGTTGGGCCGGACGACCCGCGGTGCCACGATCGAGTAGTACCTATCACTGCGGTTAATTGACCGTGAACACAATGCGATTTCTCTCTTACTGTTTTGCCATCTGGCTGATTCGACTCGCAGCTCCTCTTGCACCGTATACTCACGTTTGTCCAGACGCGACGCTCAAGCCGCACAAGAGCAGCAGCAGCAGCAGCAGCAGCAGCAGCAGCGGCCGCGGCGGCGGCATCTTTGCCGACCAGTCCATCTTTCCTTCTTCCACGCCGTAGAATTTCGCTTGCTGCAGTCTGCAGGCGGATAAAAATACGCACGATGAAGCTTCGATGACCGCTTTTGGAGGCGGCCGAATATTTGCTCGGCAACTACAAGCTTAGCTTTCTGCGACTTATCTCGCCGACGGATAAACCGAAAGGTTGTTCAACTCGGCGCGTTTATCGATGAAAGACAAACGTTTGCGCGGAGGTGTTCTACTCGAAAGTCGAGGGACGAGCGAAGAAAGAAAAAGGACTCGCCGGCGAATTTCGACGGGCAGCTCCGAGAGGACGCGAAACCACTCGCCTCGTTGGGACGGTGCTCGCCGCGACATTACGCAAATGGCATTCGCGCGCGTCGACGGGAATGACCAAACGAGCGATCGGCCGATATACTTGGCGCGCTCGGCCCCGCGACGACTCCCACGCTGGCGTGCGCGCGCGTGGGCAACGGGCATTCCCGTGTCCTCGGACGCCGTGCACGCGCATCCACGCGCACGCCGCTCGCGGCGCGAGAGAAAGTTGGCGGCAAAGCTCCCGAATCGCGAACGCCGCGTGCTCGCTCGGCTCCTTCGTTGCTCCTCGCCGCGCGGATCTGCATGAGCGTGGGCCGCGCGTTCTTTCGCCCGTCGACAAAAGGCTCGTGGGCCGTTTTCATGGCTGTCGGCCTCGCTCTGCGCCGCGCGCGCGCGGCCGTATACCTCCGACGGATGTGCCTTATCGCGCGCTTTTAACGCGTCGCGGCGCGCGAAGTACGACCTTGCCGCAGGCTCCATTCTGAAAAGTACGTACGTGCTCGGCAACGAAACTCGCCTCGCGCGCTCGGGTGTGAGCTTTCCCGCCCCACCTTGGCTAATGCACCACGCGTTTCGACGCGCGAACGCGATTATCTCTCGGGGGGCTTTTGAGAAGTCGCTTCTTTTTTCTTTTCCCTCGCTGCGGTTATTCGCGCGCGATTACAAAGCGAATCGCTGCGAATCGCGATAAGTCGAGCGTACACCCCGCGTCTAAGTACTCGCGCTTTACGTAAAGCTTGAAAACCGTGGTCACGTCAGTCGCTGTGCGAAAATCGCTCGCGCCGCTCCGCCTACGAGCCGAACTGAGGAGAAAAGCAGAAAAGAAAGGTAAAGAACAAATAAACGAAGACTTTCGAAACGCATTACGTAAAGGACAGGAAAGAAGGTGGAGAGAATTTGCAACCGCGATTTCCGTCGCGGAAAATCAGAGCAGGCGCGGGCCTGGAAATCCCGGAAAAGTTGAAACGAGCGCGACATCCGCGCGGCGCTCGAGCGTGCCATGCCAATTCGCTCCGCTGCTTCTCTCGCTGTACAGCTAGGCTTTTCCTTTTATGGTACCGTTAAAATACGAACAAAAAGCAAAGCAATAAAGAAAAAAAGAAAAAAAAAACACGACACCGAGAACACGCGATTTTATTTATCGCGAGATCGTCGGGGATAACGCGCGCGCGCGGGAAAGCTTCCAACGCTGGTATCCTTGGTCGAGAGGATCACGCGCGTTGTCCTCTTCGACTGGGCTCCCGCAATTTTTCGGCGCGATGAAGCAACGCGCTCGCGCACCTTTTAGCTCGTTCGTGCACGTTGCAGCCGCGTTAGTCATCGCTGTTTAACTTGCTTAACATTGAAACGCTCGTGCGCGCACAGCTGCGATTCACCAAAATAGTTCACCTCTGCTCGCGCGAGAGTGACTAAGCCGCGCAGCTTTTTTTTTTCTTTTCTTTGCAATCGACTTTTTCTCGCGTCGGCGAGTCGACGAGCTATTTCGGTAGCAATCAAGCTCGTCGAGTTACAAGAGGATCCCGGGCGACGCGCGACAGCGGCCTTCTTTAATTTTGGCCTCATCGGTCGCGCGCAAAGTATCGGTTCGTTTCGCGCTCTTCATCCCGCGGTTCCTTTATCCAGCCGCGGCGCGAGAGTATCGATGGGATTCCGGCTGTCGTCCTCTCTCTCTCGTTCTCTCTCGAGAGTGGCCAAGCCGAGCGCAAGCGCGACGACGGCGAAAAGGAGGGAAAGAAAAAGTCGCAGGACGAGAGCGCGCGGCTCGGCGAGCCGGTACACACGGTCTATAACGGTGCACCTGCGGCGCACAAGCTTGGCGTTCTCCATTTCGGTTGCACCTTGTTTTGATGTACGGCCTCGCGCGCGCGCGCAGGCACACTCGGCGATCGCGCCCACGCGGCGAGAAAGCCGAAATCGACGATGCGCGCATCGACTGGCGCTTGCGCTCACTCACCTGCTGCCAGCCACGCTCGATAGAGAGAGAGAGAGAGAGAGAGTGAGAGAGAGAACACAAATGCCGGCCAAGGAGAACAGGCGTGCGAGTTTAAGGTCAAACACTGCTGGGAAAGAGGCGGACTAGGAGGCTGCAGCGAACGTGCGGCGATGTCCGCCGTGGTAGTGCGACTGGCGCCGCGAGAGTCTCTGGCCCGCTCCTCGCGCTCGCGCCGCGCAGGAATCGAGGTAGGAGAGAGCGGCGCACCTGAGAGAGTCTGTGCGTGAGGGGAACGAGCCACCACCGCCGCCTCCGCCGCCGCCAGGAGACAGACAGGTAGAGAGAGAGAGAGAGAGAGAGAGAGACAGACAGAGTTTGGAAGGCTGTTTTTCATCGACGTCTTTGGCGCGATTACCACTGAGGCGCCTATTGGTTTCGTGACGCGATTGGTAATTGAAGCCTCGTCGCGTACCGCGAGCTGTCCTTTTTACGTCCAACTACGATTCCGTTAATGGTCGCTTCTTTCCTCTCGCTCTCTCTCTCTCTCTCTCTCTCTCTCTCTCTCTCTCTCTCTCTCTCTCTCTCTCTTTCATGTTTTTGCGAAGTTACGCGGCCGCACGTTACAATTGAGACGAAATTGAGTAACAGTACGAAGACAAGGCTCCAAAGAAAAGTGATTGAGCGCGATGACTCGGTAGCCGGGCACTTGCACGCCGATTGGAAATGCTCGCGCTCCGCGCGTCTATTCGAGAGAAAGCGCGGCGCATCGTGACTGCAACGTGAATCACTGCGCAGTTTAAGTGCTCTGAAAAGCCTGGAATAGCGCGTGGTGTGCTGCGCAGGGAGAGTCATTAGGCGCTCGTTACAATCGTTAATCGCGCGGTGAGTACGTGCGATTTATCTCTTCTGATTCTTTCGTCGGTCAGCTCGCTATGCGATTTGACTTGTCGCTGAACTCCGTTGCTTTCGTCCGTTGTGCCGGCGGCGCGAGCGTTATCTCTTTTGCGTACACGAATGCGTTTCATCTTCCCATTGTGCACGCACGAGAGTTTAGTTCTAGCGCCTCCGCTATTTTTTTTTATCACATTTTTCCCCCTCAAATGGGCCTTGGCTTATGAATAATAAAACTTGCTTCGCGAGTGATGAGTGGATTTGATGAAAATACTACATTTTATAATACTATATTGCATATATATATAATAGAAGCATCCCTCCACGATATAAATAAATTTAAAATTCGTATGCACGCGCATACGCGTACGAATACAATCAAGACGGTATAAAATGAACCAAAAAGCAGACGATTATGCAGGCTCCCTTAGTAAGACGATAATAACGTCATTGTCAAACAAAATCGTGGAAAAAAATATAATATCCCGGACGTATGAGGGCCCGGAGATTTGAATCGTGTGCGGGAAGTTACTGTCTTACGCTATCCGGTCCGTATCTACTTACGCGTGTATAACGAATGCGATTTCTCAGTTTTCATATTCGCAATTAAAGTTTTTCATTGCACAGCAATGCCTCCGTTGTTTTATAATTTTATTCATAGCTAGGAAAATTTATACAGTGAGAAAAGTTTGGATAATGATTCCTTTAACCGCGTGAAATAAAACCCAACGACAACTCAGCCGATCACATTTACGAATCGATCGTCAATTTCGATGAGCGCTAGCGGAGAAAAAACATCGATCGCGGCGATTCGAAGCAACGACGGATCCATTCCGTACGTAATATCGAGCATGAGCAGCGCAATTTCCAAGTCCAGTTTGATAACCCGAATACCATTTAATTGAGTGGCGCGCGGCGGCACGAGGAAAGCGGCTGCAAAATCGGAAAACGAGATCAGGAGTATCAAATAAGGAAAATAAAGGGAAAGAAAAAAAAAATAAAAAAAAATAAAGAGAGAAAAAAAGGAAGGAGGCGCCGAGCTGCACAAAAAGAGCCGGTCTCCGGTGCGCATATCCGCGCGCGCACAGCTTGGGAGGAGAAGGAAACCACGAGCGGATCCTACGCGGACTGGAGCACCGTTATGTGCTCGCCGCACACTCCGGGCTCTCCGATCTAGATAGATACCTTTTATGCGCCGGCAGTCCTAGTCCTCCCACACGCGCGGGTCCTGCGTATCCCCCTTTTTTCCCACAGCTCCAATTCATGCCTAGCACCCCCTCCCCCCGCCCCTCCCCTTCGCCGCGCGCTCGGGGTAGGAATGCCTACTTAATCGCACGAAGCTTTGCAGGAACACGCTAACTGCGTAATCCCCGTGATGATACGCTTAGCGCTTTCCTAATGACATCGAATTGTGCTGAAGAGTCGATTGAACGTTACCGCGCGAACGCCGTCCGCTCGTTTATGGAAACAGCTTTGTGAGAAAGGCGTTTATTGATTGTCAGGCTTAATGCCGACGTGAGAGAGCTTTCAGCTATGAGGCCGCAACAATTACTGTGATTATCGCGTCGTTCCCGAGACGGTTGTCATGGCGAGTCTTCTTGTGTCGTATGAAGCTTCGAATTTTCACTGTGGAAACTTTACGCAATAATTTTTTTTTATTGCTAAATTAAATGAACATTTTTCAATGTTTTAATTACTATATTTAGCTAAGTTCAATTAATTTTTATGTCGGATCGATGTATCGTTTGGAATTTGTCGTTGAACGTGACTTTTAAATAGCAATACATTATTATTAGAAGACTATGCAGTCTTCTTGAACCGATGTAATGTGCAAACAGACATTTGTTTGTCTATAAGCTTAAAATGTGTTATGGAACAGTGGTTGAATCCACCTATAAATTGTAGATGCCGGGGGAAGAGGGCGCTCTTACAATTTATGGCCGATGGAATCTAGAAGTAAAGCTATAGCCACGTTTCTTGCGAGTGTATTGTATCCTGCGGAACGTAAACTTCAAAGGCATATTCTCTCTAGACTTAAATCTGAATATTTTCTTACATTTACCACATAAGTATAGTTTCAATTTATGCCGTTTTAATTTTTCATCCTGACTGGTTGAAAGAACGACTCTTTGGGAACCTTCTTAAAAATAGCTTGTCGAACGAGTCTACCTCGTCGTACAATCATAGTAGTATGTGCAATTGAACAGCTAGCCTGAGATTTAAAAATTTAGTGACGGTATGCGGTGCATCTATCAAGGCTCGTTTGCCATCACCCATCGGAATGAAGATATTTCAATTGCTTTACATGCCAAATAGTTTCTGTCTTTTTCTGTATAATAACATGAGTATCAACGGTAATATATTCATGTCGTCCGCGTAAAGTATATAAATTTAATTAGCGGAACAAGATTAGCTTTATATATAGAACAATATGAGTCCTAGGCGAGATTCCTTGGGAGCACCACACGTTACAGCTGGAGTGCTGCCCTTTCCAGCCACTTGCCTTAGCTAACAGCTGAATCACTTATCAATCTATGAACTAAAGTTCATTGATCTACTTAAATCATTTTTGGTTTAACAATGAACAAGCCACTTTTTATCGGGTTGGAATAATAATAATAACTAAAATTCGAAAATGGAATTCTATGCTTTGAAAATAGACGCGATAGGGAAGCACGTTACTTAATACAAAACGCCATACAATGTGTTATTAAAAACTAATAAACGTTAATATCGCGATTCATAATTGCTTTTAATGCTATCGGTTATCTCAAACTTCGATAGGAGATGCATCTTTTTTATGTACATCAACAATATACATATATTATTTGTTTCATTTAAATAAAAAAGAAAAATTAGAAAAAAATGAATATTTGGTAGAAATAGACAGATTCGAGTTATTTTTATGGAAACCGTTCTATAGATAATCGTACCTGATTCAACTGATGAAATAAGCAGTGATTCCCGAATACATCACTGAATACAATGTGCAAACACTGTAAGCTTCTGCATTTCATAACATTTTATTTTTTATGATCAATGATTTTACAAATATTTTAAAGAATTGCCAATATATACCTACAAACATATGTATTTATTATAGAGCACTTTTTCAAACAAAACTTTGTTGAAATATGTAGGAACAAGTAATTTGTAGAATAAGCCAGTAATCATGAAAAGTTAAATTAGATTTCTGTACGTTAATTGCTAATTTGTTGATCATTCACATCTAGTGATCACACATAACATCTAGTAATAATATACGATTAATTATAATACAGATTAAAAAAAATATTTTTTTAGATAAAGTTATCGACGATTAGATTAATTTTTTTCATTTATTAGACAAAAAATGTATTCAATAGTGTTCTATCGATTATATTATGTGATATACAATGGGCCAGAACAAAAAAAAATTCGAGTTCTTTCTAAACAAAGACAACTTAACGCGCAAAACAAATCTAGAACGATTCGCAAGGCTCAACGACCCTTAATCTGCCCCACGCACTGATCTGATACAGTTGACCTAAAACCGAATTCGATCCTTATTCCAGTAATGCAACTATTAGAATCCACGTTACAAATATAGATAATATATAATAATTATTTATTTATTACTTTATCGCACACATTAACTATCTTAAACTAGTATATAGTAGCACACTACACCATAATCATTATACTCAAATATTACAATTACAATGAAAAGAAATTAAAAAATAATTTCAAAATGTTTAGAAAAAACAACTTTCAATAAAATGAAATGTATGAATTATAAACAATTACAATTGAATGCGCAAAAATTGCAACTTAATCCGGCGGAATATTTAAAAAGTTTCTCGGTGACTCATAAACGAAATTAGTCTTAAAGCTCATTTAATATTTTTATTTTTACGATGTAATACGGAAATAAATTTTTTTTATCTATGGAAAAATGTACTCTACTGTAACAAAATTACATGTACATAATAACTAATTCGGAAATGGAATTGTATGCTTTGAAAATAGAGTAAAAAAAATATTAAATTACATAACTTTGATCTGTCGAATCTCACAGTATATCGTTACATATCAATTTGAATACGATCATCATTTTATAACGAATAAAATTCTCTTATATAAATGAAACCGTCAAAACGTAAATAAACGTTTTTCGCAGAATGTTCTACAAACTCGTAGACGTAGCTAGCCGTGACCCTGACTTATGAATACATATGTATAAAATAAACAACCAACCGTTGATATCCTAATATTAAGCATTTTATGGGTTCACATCTCAATCTAAACTAACACTATTATAGTAACGATTACAATAAATAACGATTACAAGTTGCAAATATCCAATGAAACGTACAAAAACAAACCACCCAGAATATTCTACAAGTTTGATGCTCCGACTCATAAATAAAGCTAACCCTTAATGGATATTTTAAGAAACTTACGCATGATAATTTTTATTCGAAACAACGTTATTTTTAAATAAAACACTTGGCGTAAAACAATTAAAGCCCACGCATTCGCGCCCGAAAACGGAAAACGTAAACAAAGCAGTCGTCAAGGTAAAACCTATTTACCGGCTGTCAGATCTGGCCCTGTCTAGAAGCTTCGTCTGTACGTCACAGCCTTCCATGGCGCCTCGATCGTTCTGTTCTGATTTGGAAAATAATTTCTTTTCAGCACTTCCACGAAATGAATTGCGACAAAATGCACACCAACGTAAACCTTATGAAATAAAACATAAAATGCGATAATTGGAAAATTGTAACAACTTTGTAAAAATAATAAAATTAAGATGGAACGTCATAGAAAGATCTCGAAAGTGGAGGAAGGCGCGCTCGAGAAACGTCGAGCATCAGTCGGCCGAGAGGTGGCGGGTATAAATACGACGTCTGTGCGCTCAGCCGCTCAGTATACGAAAAGCAAGAATACGAATCACGTCTAAGCAAACTAGCAAAGCGAAACAACACAACAATACACAATGGCACCAGCTATTGGAATTGATTTGGGAACAACCTACTCCTGCGTTGGAGTATGGCAGCAAGGCAAAGTCGAGATCATCGCCAACGATCAAGGCAACAGAACGACACCATCATATGTTGCTTTCACGGACAGCGAGCGGCTCATCGGAGATGCCGCTAAGAATCAGGTGGCGATGAATCCCTCCAACACAGTCTTCGATGCCAAGAGGCTTATTGGTCGAAGGTACGTTTTCCAGAATTAATTTATATTTTTTACAATTTCCATAAAATTTACATCAATTTTATTTCTATTTCTTTTGTTTTGCTATGCTTTTATTTTTGACGAAATTTTTTATGGGATTGAAATTAAAAATCTACGTGATGGTGTTTAAAATTTTAAAATGTCATCATGAATAACTGAAACCGAAATTTTTTATTTTTATAGAAATAATGCGTCTTTTACATATTTTTCCGTTATTCGCATAATTCAATAATTTGTATTCTACTAATTGACTATTTTTTTACATTACACTAAAATAATATTGGTATTTTGTGTTGCAGGTTTGACGACTCAAAGATCCAGAGCGATATGAAACACTGGCCGTTCAAAGTCGTCAGCGATGGTGGCAAGCCGAAGATCGAGGTCGAATTCCGCGGTGAGAAGAAACGTTTTAATCCAGAGGAAATCAGCTCGATGGTCCTGATAAAGATGAAGGAAACAGCTGAGGCATACTTGGGACAAACGGTGAAAGACGCGGTTATTACAGTACCCGCGTACTTCAACGATTCGCAGCGTCAAGCCACCAAAGACGCTGGAGCGATCGCCGGTTTGAATGTGCTCAGGATCATAAACGAGCCGACGGCTGCGGCACTGGCGTATGGCCTTGACAAGAACCTGAAAGGCGAGCGCAACGTGCTGATCTTCGACCTAGGCGGTGGCACCTTCGACGTGTCCATCCTCAGTATCGATGAAGGTTCTCTATTTGAGGTGAAGGCCACAGCCGGCGACACCCACCTCGGCGGCGAAGACTTCGACAATCGACTAGTGGACTTCCTTTGTAAAGAGTTCGAGCGCAAGTACAAGAAGAATCTGAAAAGCAATCCCAGGGCAATAAGGCGTCTGCGTACGGCAGCGGAGAGAGCCAAGCGCACGCTGTCTTCCAGCACCGAAGCCAGCATCGAAATCGATGCCTTGTTCGATGGCATCGACTACTACACCAAAGTCTCAAGGGCGCGCTTCGAAGAGCTGTGCGCTGATTTGTTCCGCTCCACCCTGGAACCAGTTGAGAAGGCTCTCGCTGACGCCAAGTTGGACAAGCGATCCATCCATGATGTGGTCCTCGTCGGTGGCTCCACGCGCATACCCAAAGTTCAGAGCATGCTGCAGAACTTCTTCTGCGGCAAGCAGCTAAATCTATCTATCAATCCCGACGAGGCGGTCGCCTACGGAGCGGCCGTACAGGCGGCCATTCTCAGCGGCGAGGGTAACAAGAGTTCTACCCTCCAAGATGTGCTTCTGGTCGATGTTGCCCCACTATCTCTGGGCATTGAAACTGCCGGTGACGTGATGACCAACATCATCGAGCGCAACGCCCGCATACCATGCAAGCAGTCTCAGACCTTCACCACCTACGCTGATAATCAGCCGGCTGTCACCATCCAGGTGTATGAGGGTGAGCGCGCCATGACCAAAGACAACAACCTGTTAGGTCGCTTCGAGCTTAGCGGTATTGCCCCAGCGCCGCGCGGCGTGCCCAAAATCGACGTTACCTTTGATATGGACGCCAATGGAATTTTGCACGTCACCGCCAAAGATACGGCCAGCGGCCGCAGTAACAACATCCGCATCACCAACGATAAGGGTCGCTTGTCCAAGGAAGAAATCGAACGCATGCTTAATGATGCTGAGAAGTACCGCGAACAGGATTCCGAGCAGCGCGAAAAGGTCTCCGCCAGAAATCAACTCGAGAGCTACGTCTTCACGGTTAAACAAGCTATTCAGGATAGTGGTGACAAGCTCAGTCAAGGGGATAAGGACATGGTCTTGAATTTGTGCGAGGATACCATCCGCTGGCTCGACAATAATACTCTGGCTGAGAAAGACGAGTACAAGCACAAGTTCGACGAGGTACAGAGACAATGTTCACCCATCATGACCAAGATTCACACCGGTGGTGCACAAAACTGTGGTGAACAGTACAGACAAGGCGCTGGCGACAACCACTCTGGCCCAACTGTCGAGGAAGTTGACTAAACCATTCAATCTCTTGGCTTAGTATGGAAAGCTTCCTAAGGTTTCAATATAAAGACGCTAGTTATAGTATTTACATTCCTAAGAGACTGAATGATAAATTAATGGCACATTATTGTTTCATTGATAATAAACCAACCAGTGTAATTTAAACTAATAACATTTTCATGTCAAGACTTGTTAACTTTGCTCCTTAAGTTTATTTGATTTTGACGGCTGATGTGAATTATCGGTTTAACTTAATTGACAAATTGTGGATCGCTACAATTAACAAGTTTTGCTTACTAGTTTAATTTACGTTCAGTAAAATTATCTTTATTTTGGTTTTAGTATGAATGATAGATAAAATTTATTCTAAATTGTGATACTAGTTACATAAATAAATTATTTATTTATTTTAAAATTGCAGTCTTATTTTACAATATATTACTCTGTCCTTGACTGTTATCCTTCTTAAAGTTGTATTGTTGCATGTGTTTAATAGTTTCTGCTATGACAATTATACCCCTTTCCCAATTGTTGTGGTAAAAACTAAATATTTCCATGTATACACTTATAATATTCACTGATGATTCAGCCATATTAAATTTAATGTTGTGTGGGTTGTATGTATCTCTTCAAATGCCTTTGGATGTTAATAGCCCTATTATTTAAATATCTGCATTATGTTCTAATAAAATTATTGTAGCTCTTTCTTGAGCAACCTTTCATTATAATTATTAGAAAAAATGATAGTATAATTAGCTGATCATAGTGGTTACTTACAAGTGCACTCAGCTCTGACATCAATTTATGATCCGCGTATTCGAAAATCGAATTTTTCTGGTAAATTGCGGGAGTACAATTTGCCACAATAAGACCTAACTTCCTTTGGTGTCATCAATGCTCAATCGTCAAAAATACTTCGGTTTTAAACTTCGCGGGTCACGAATTAATGTCCGAGCAAAGTATGAATTTTATATTTTTTTTTTATTTCTCCTATAATAACTTCAATCTGGTTCAAGCATCGAACTGAAAATATTACTGAATACAAACAAGGGATGAGCGCACAAAGTATACTTAACGACACTAGTATAATAATATAATAATTAAAATATTTATATGTGAGTAACAATGAATAATATATTTGAATTAATGAGATGCAGCGTTGCCACTGAAAAATAATTTCTAGGGACTTTGAGAAAAATTTTCCCAGATATAATGGTGTTGGTGATATGGTGACATTGTAACGTAATGTGTGAATTAATGTGACTGTTTTCGATAAGATGGCAACACTTTCCGCGTTCATTTCATTTCTTTGTGGAGAGTTGATCATCGAGCATCGAGAAAGATCGAGCCTTTCCTTTTCTACAAAGATCTTTCATATATTTCGAACAACCTGTCACTGTTTTTAGAAGTAAATATATAGAGTGACTGTGGCCGAGGTGTACACAAGCAAAGATCGTTGTTTCTGGTGTTATCAAGCTATTTATCCGGGCTCGCCCGGCTTCACATAACCTCTTCTGAAGGCACGTGCTTATAGCCCCCGTTTAACGGGCGGCGATTCAACTAACAGCCAATATGGCAAATGTGGGAAATGAACAATCTATGAACTCAAAGATGGATGTTGACGATTCAATCGTCCTAAACCAAACGAATAATAACAGAAAAAGAAGCGCTGATGAAACTCTACAAACCAGCAAGAAAATTCATATATCAGATACGCTCAACGCAAACAAGGATAACTTGCATGAAGTCACCACTACACAAGCGCCAACGACATATGCTTTTAAAGCAGATAATAAGGGTCCATTTGGTGTATGGATTAAGAGAACAGATAATAAAGCCCTCAGCGCATACAAAGTAGGCAGCGTTCTATTCAAAAAATACAGAGACATCTCAATTAAAAATAGAGGAGACTTCAAGGTCGAAGTCGTAGCCAAAATGAGAGAAGAAGCTAACAGACTTTTACAAGACGAACTTATCAAACAAAACAGCTGGGAAGCATTTATACCGGGATTTCGCCAATTCAGAAAAGGTTTGATTAAATTTATACCTCTTGATATTTCAGAAAAGGACATTATCGAAGGCCTTGAATCCCCGGCCATAGTTACAGATGTAAGACGGCAAAACCGAAGGAACAGACTTGCTACTGGTACGGACGATAAATGGATTCCTTCACAATCTATACTTTTAACCTTTTCAGGTCAAATTTTACCAAAACAAGTATCTCTCTTTTGTGTAAAAGCAGAGGTAGAGCCTTTTGTTTCCAAGCCGATGCAATGCTATAATTGTTTTGCTTTTGCGCACACAGCTAAAAGTTGTAAAGGCAAGAAAAAATGCATCATGTGCGGCTCGCTCGCACACGAAAATGGAGAGAAATGCATTGCTACCACACCGAAATGCACGAACTGCGAAGGACCGCACAAAAGCATTGATTCCACATGCCCAGTATACCAAAGAAATTTGAAAATAAATACAATTATGGCATTCGATAATGTCCCCTTTGCTGAGGCTAGGAAACTAGTCGCTGAATATAGGGTAGGTGATGCTCCTCCTCCTCCCCGTAAAACGAAAGAAAATTTCCCAAAGATTGGTGAACAGAGAGAGAACTCGTTTGCAAGCATCGCTTCGCCGAAAGAAGGCCCACCGACTCGCAATAGAAGAGCACAGTCGGCTACAACGAAAGTGACATTAGATCAACCAACACAACCACAAACTCAATCTCAATCTCAACTCATTGAAAGTGATGAAGAGGGCGCTAAAGAAGACGCTCGATCTCAATGGGAACTAACATACAACGACTCGATAGGTACAGACAACGGCTGCTCCCAGCTATCAAATGATGAAGACAAGGAAAACAACAGCGTATTGACACCTAATGTTAATAGAGATACTATACCGACGCAAGGTACCAAAAAAAAAGGTAATATACCAGTACAAGCAAAACTTAACAAAACTATTAAAAAACTTAAAGAAAGAATTGAAAATGAAAATGCGACTAATGAGTATATTTCTGATAATATCAAAAATTACCGTAAGAATCAAAATAAGCCAAATAAAAAGGAAAATTAATTAAAATATTTTCCAGATTTCTTAATTTTTAGTCTATTACATTTTTGCATACAATCTAAATTTCAAATTTTACACTTTTGCATACAACTTAAATTTCAAAACTTTATTTCATTTTTACTAGATATTAAATACCAATCTTTTTTTTGTTTTTTTTTTCTCTCAACTTTTTTTTTTTTTTTTTATTCACGTAATTAAACAATTATTTTTCTTTTTATAATGGATATCTTAAAAAACATGAAAATTTTACAGTGGAATTGTAGATCGTTATCAAATAAGCTTTGTATACACAACTACGCAGTTAACTATGACATTATAATTATTAGCGAAACTTGGCTTAAAGAAGATAAAGCCTTTGTATTAAAAGGGTTTAATACCCTTAGGTATGATAGAAACATAAATCAGGGAGGAGGTTTGGCATTTTTCATAAAAAAAAATATCTTATATAATAAAATTGATTTCAATTTGAACTCTACAAGTCTAGAAGTTGGAGCCGTTTTGGTGTCCACTAATTTGGGCGACTTAGCCATTATTTCTTGCTATAGATCTCCCAAACAGGGGAACGATTTAAAGCGTAATGAATGGCTTTTTTTACAAGAAGAGATAACAAAAAAATTTAATAACTTCTTATTAGTTGGAGACTTTAACGCTCATCACCCCTACTGGGGCAGTAATAGATACTGTACAAATGGTAATATCATTTTTAATGACACAGATTTTGACGAATTCTTTCTATTGAATAATGGCAAACCTACTCGCCTGGAACTATCTGATAAGGGTGTGACCCACACAAACATAGACTTATCTTTTACATCGATGAACCTAGCTTTTATAGCGAATTGGTCTGTTCTCGAGGACTCATGGGGTAGTGACCACTACCCTATTGAAATCTCTTTTAATTTATCAGTGAAAGAAAAAACTAGAAAAGACTATCGAATTAATTTAAAGATTATTAATTTCAATAAATTTTTCAAAATACTAGAAACAGAAAAAGATAAATTTAACAATTTAACGTTCACAAATGATACAGCTATAAGTAGATATTCTACTCTATTAGAGTTTCTTTACAGTTCCTTAGATAAAGCTAAATATAATGATAACCCAAAATTAGACAAAAATGTTAAATTTAAGAAAAAACAAAAAGAATGTATATGGTGGAACAACGTTTGTGATAAAACTAATCGACTACGGAACGCCTCTTTTAGGTCCGTCCATTATAGATGTAACCTAGAGTCTTTTATCAAACATAAGAAGTTAGAAGCTCAATGTACTAGAACTCTCAGAGAAGAAAAAACTAAATCCTTTCAGAATTTTTGTGCTTCCATTAATAGAAATACTAAGGTCTCTGACGTCTGGAGAAAGATTAGGGCATTTAAAAACGGTAGTAATAGACCAATTTCTTTAGAAGGCAACAAAAACTCCATAGAAAATGCGAAGGTTTGCCTAAACGATCTCTGTATTCCTAAAGACTGTAACTTATGTCCTCACGATAACTTAAATTCGTTCATTGATTCTCAATTTCCAATTTCATTAGGCGTAGAGAAGGATCACTTTATGGATCTTCCTTTCACGTTTGAAGAGCTTGAAAATGCTCTACACTCAGTAAACATCAAATCAGCTCCAGGAGCTGATAAAATTAGTTACGCGCTAATAATTGCCTTACCAGAATTTTATAAAAGAATCTTACTTGACCTTTTTAACGATTTTTATGATCAAGGCGACTTTCCTCAATCATGGTCTAATTACCTTATAAGTTTTATCCCTAAAAATAACAGCGATAAAGTACGTCCAGTATCTATGGCATCCTGTATACTCAAAACATTTGAACGAATGGTTAACAATCGTCTCACCTTTTGGCTAGAAACTAATAATTTCTTTTCACCTTCACAGTACGGATTTCGCAAAGGCAAATCATGTGCTGATAATATATCAATTTTAACAACACACATTCATCAATCTTTTTTTTTGAAAAAAAGTTTGGCAGCTTTCTTTTTGGATATTAAAGGCGCTTTCAATGAAGTAATTCCAGATATTTTAATCAATGACCTCATAGAACTTGGCCTCCCGAAAAAATTCATTATCTTCATAAAATTTGTAATTTTTAAAAGGGTTCTTATTCCAATAAATATTGATGACAAACTAAAATATACGGTTAACAAGGGACTCCCTCAAGGAAGCGTGCTTAGTCCAGTGCTATATGCTATCTATACCAGATTTTTGAAAACTCTCACTACACAAGGTGTAGAGATTTTGGAATTTGCAGATGACGTTGCTATTTTCACCCAATGCGAAAACCCACACCAGGGAGTTGAAAAATTGAAAACAGATATCGGAGTAATGCTCCCAGCTCTCAAGAACAAAGGTCTTGAATTAGCACTTAATAAATGCGACCTGCTTATTTTCAATAAAAATAATATTAACATAAAAAATATATCTCTTAATATCAGCAACGAAACTATTTTCCCAGTTAAAGAAGTAAAATTCTTAGGTATGATCTTAGATCAAAGGCTTAATTGGTCCAAACATATATCGTATTTGGTCCAAAAGAGTATATCATCAATGAGAATAATTAGTTGTCTAAGAAGGACTTGGTGGGGAGCGGATCCAAGTATTCTACTTCTCCTATACCAATCTCTGATAAGATCTAGAATTGAATACTGCGGATTTTTATTATCACCTTGCGCAAATTCACACTTAGAGAAGTTACAAAAAATCCAAAATACTGCTATAAGACTAGCCTTAGGTTATCAAAAGAGTACCCCTATTAATGTAATCGCTGGCGAATCGAAAGTGCCCTATCTTTCTATCAGATTCAAATTTCTAGGCAAAAAATTTTTACTGAAATGCATGTCAATAGAAAACAATGTAACAATCCAAAACATCGAAAAAATATTAGAATATGCTGAAAATTTCCAATTTGATTTCAACTATGAAAAATCTACCCTGGTTTCAAGTTATGAGGAATTAAGATGGCACTCGGATTCAATTATCAAATCAGATAAATTCTTTATGTTTTCTCAACCCTGGGAATACACCTTTGCCAACTTTTATATTGATATCACCTCTGGTAAGAAAATAATACAATCATCAAACCCCCTCAAAACATTCAATGAAACTTTTGAATCCAAAAATAAAGCAATAGATATATACACAGATGGTTCTAAAATGAATATTAACTCTAAAGTTTGTGTTGGATTTTCCTCATGGAGTTTATCACCAGAATATAAATTTTCATACAAAATACCTGATTCAGCCTCGATTTTTTCCGCAGAGACCTTAGCGATTTCCTTTTGCTTAGATAAAATAATTTCAGATCAAAATAATAATGTTTTTAGAATCTTCTCTGACAGTGAGAGTGCATTAAAATCACTCGATAACAATTTTAATATAGGCGCTTCATCTCCTCTTATTGCTCAAACGAAATCTAAGCTTTTACAATGTAGAAAACTGCATAAAGAAGTAAAGCTAATCTGGATACCTTCCCACAAAGGTATTCCAGGTAATGAAGCTGCTGACTCTGATGCCAAAACAGCTGCAGAAAACGGCATCTTGGCTAATGTTATTCTACCCTACACTGATTTCTTTAGTAAATATAAAATAGATTGTGAACAAGAAAACACTAATAGTTTACTTTCATCAAGCCTCAATAAAGGAATTTTTTATTTTAATAATTACTACACAGCATCAAAAAAACCTTGGTTTCACAAATTTTCTCATTTAACCAGAAAATCAATAACTACTCTCAATAGAATTAGAAGTGGCCACATGTCTTTAAACGCATATCTTTTTAAATTTAAGATTGTAGATTCTGACTTATGCCGTTGTAACAAAGAGAAAGAAGACGTTGACCACGTCTTTTGGCGATGTGAATTATATGTCAACGAAAGAAAGAAAATGCTCAACGAATTAAAAAAATATGTCAATACAGAACCAAAGACAATTGTACCTTTTCTTATCGATATGAATATACATGTCATAAATAGCCTATCAAATTTCATATTAGAAATAAAAATTAATATTTAATCCCGTTTCTCTAGATAATTAAGTTATTTATGTATTTATTTTTTTTACCATTAATGTTGTACTAATTATTACTAAAGTATTTCTGTATTTTATATGCGTTATCTAATTTTATATTGAAAAGCGATTTATTAATATTAATATTGGCGAAAATATATTTGTGATATGAAACTTTGTATTTATATTTGAATTTGTAGTTCAGCGCGCCCTCACCGGCGCCACTGTGGTGGTGTTGTGGCTCATATGATGTATACAGTTAAGCCAATAAAAATTTTCTATTCTCTATTCATTTCTTTGTGGTCGTTTGAAAATTTCAAACAGGCGTGGGTTTGTTTACTAACAGTGCATGCGGGAATCTCGCGTTAAAAATTTTATCGTTATTTTCAATCAATTAACAATTCATAATGACAGAATTCAAAACACCTGTGTCAAAAAGGACAAGAAATAAATTAGCAGGCAATCCAGAGTTTCAAACTCCCATCAAAATACCTGCTTCTCCATTTTTACAACAAATAGGTTATGGATGTGGTGAGAATTACAACTGATATTTTTACAATTTTATTGTTTCGAGCGATATTTTATTATAAATACGTTGAACTAGGTGTCAATGTATTTACATTCCAAAGATCTCCCAAAGTTGGATTTACAAGGTCACCATGGGCTATCAAAAAACGTAATAAGAATGTTATGAAGGACTCTAAATATAATGCTAGAATTCAGTTAGAAGCTGACATACTCAGAAAATTAAGCCATCCAAATATTGTGGGTTTTAGAGCACTGACTTATTCATCTGATGGTGAACCATGTCTTGCTATGGAAAAGTTAGAAATATCTCTTGGTGAGTAGTATACAACATTACACATACCAAGTAGATGAGAGGGATTTAAAAAAATGTTGTTTTGCTTATTATTCTTCTATTTGATTAATTTAATAATAATTTATAGGAGATTTAATAGAAGAAAAGTTAGAAGCTGGAGAAGTAGAGTTTCCAGCAAATATCATTTTAAAAATTGGTTTTGAAATTGCAAAAGGTTTAGAATATTTGCATCACACAGCTTATGTACTTCATGGTGACATAAAAAGCTACAATATTTTGACAACAAAAGATTATAAAACAGTTAAAATATGTGACTTTGGGGTATCCATTCCTCTGACAAAAGCTTTAGAAATGGACACATCAACAGGAGAATTTATGTATATTGGTACTCAATGTTGGAGTGCTCCAGAAATAATTAATGGTAAATATTTGTATTATACTAGTAGGTTAAAAAAATTTATTTATATTTTGAATCATTTTTAAATATGGTATTTATGTACATGGTAGGATATCTGTGCAGTCTAAGGTGCTAGTTCAATGTACTAGTCTCTTTGGAGACAAAGGTTTAAATTCCACAGCTGACAGATTTTTTTTTGAAATATATTTAAGAATAACTAATAATATTTATTATTTTGGAATACATAATTCTAATAATTCATTTTTATCATCAAATTAGAAAATGGACCTGTTACCAATAAAGCAGACATATGGGCCTTTGGTCTTGTACTTTGGGAAATGATAGCATTATCACCTCCACACATAGAAAATGAAGATGAATCAATGAATTTAGATACAGATGATTCCATGCTCGAATGTGCAGTTCTAAATCAAAGCAAAGAGAATGATGACCCAAATTCTGATATGGAAGATGACTTTCTACAAAATTTGAAAGATCCAGATACTTCTAATTATGGTTGGTAGATTTAATTATCTATACATAAATTGTCTGATTCAATCTCAAAATATTTTCCTTCTATTCCACATTCACAGGTACCCGACCTCCATTACCAGCTATACAACTTGGTAAAGAATATGACAAAGTGCTTGAGTTATTCTATGCTTGTACAGATGAAGATTATAAAACGAGACCAAGCGCTAAGGGCGTAGTTATGTTTTTTAAAAATTTCGTAAAAATAACTTCAGACGAAACTTCTAAAGTGTAAATAGGATTACCGCTATTTTCAAAAGAAAATTTTGAATCAAGGCAATAGATCAAAAGTAGAACAAAATAAATTATTTGCTATCAATTTTTATTTTATTTTTTAAGTATTATTTTTTACTATAAAATGTATCACTGTGCTTTTTATATACTTTTATAAAATGAATTTTATGAACAAATTATCACTATGGTGAAAAATATAACAACTATAGTACCTACGATTATGGCTATCTTAATTTTACGCTGAAATCAAAAGTTGCAAGATTTAGTATTTTACTTTATATATAAAAAAAAATGGACAGGAAAAAATACCTTTCTTTGTGTTTGTTTTTTTTCTCTAGTTTTCTTAATTTTAGTATTGCCTTTATCTACGTCATCAGTTGCTTTGCTAGCAAAATATTCTACACAGTTCAATTGTTCTCCCTGAAATAATTTAAATTATATTGAATCAAATCTGAATTAAAAAAGTTTATTATTGTATAAATATTACACCTGTCTTTCGACTAAAAATGCCATTTCAAAAAATATATCTTTAACTTCAGCAATAGACTTTTCCAATTTCTGTAATTCTTTATGCCTAGTTTCTAAGTCTGACAGTTGCTGTTGAGCCTCTTTAGTCTCTGCTAAAATCTGTAAAAATTTATAATTATTGTAAACAAGTATGAGTATAGAAATAAATACCTACATTATCAACAAATAAACTTGTTTCTGGAGATTCAATCATATCTTCTATTTCTTCACTCGTAATTTGCTTTCTTACTAAAAATATTTTAAATTATTGCAGTTTAATTTTTACAGATGACGTATAAAATATAAAAGTAAATTTCTTACATAAACGTCGTTGACGATGCAAAATTGATGAACACTTATTGTGATATCTGAATAGATTCTCATTATAATCTTGCATTATATCACTGTACATTTTAAACATTGTCATATATTGCAAAGCTTTAATTCTGTTATATACCGGTCCTTGCCTGGCAGTGTTAAATGATAAATCGTCACCGCTGTTGACATTTTTTCCTAGTTCTGAATTAAAATAGTATTATTAATAGTGAAAGTAATTTAAAAAATCAATACTGCCAATCTTTTAATTAAAAAATAACTAGATTAGAGAATTATGAGTTTCCACTATGTACAGTTACATCACCATCTTGTTTGTTTATCTTCGATCCGAACTTGTCGTGCTTATGTGTAAAAAAAAAGTAGGTTATGTTTACGTGATATATGTATATTATCGACAGTTATTGCGAACGAGTGTAAGTTAAAATTGTACGAAAGAAATGACTTGACAAAGGATAAATAATGGATCCTCTTCAAGTATTTGAAAATTTCAAATTAGATACACTTGACAACAAGTGGAGCGATGAAGTTTGGGATCGAGAGTTTCTGTCATTTCCTGAACCTCCAGTTGAATATTCCATTCTTCTGGGAAGCGAGGATATGGAATTATTTTTGAAAGAAACTCGTGATACTTTAAAAAAGTGGATGAATCAAAATCAAGATTTAGATAAATCTAATGATCAACAGAGATCAGAAGTTTCATGGCAAACACTCACTGCCTTAGATATCAACATCAGAGGTTTACTCGCAGTACTGGCTTACCTTATGAAGGTAGGCCAGGCTGCAGGTGCCGATGAAGATTCTCGACAAGCTTGTTTAGCTAGTGCAAGCCTCTATCTGACTTTACTAAATATACCTGGATGTAGCACATTTCATGTATTTCATCCCCATCTATATCAACGAGCCCTGGAAACACTTAAGTTATCTGAACATTTAGTGGCTAATAGAAAACATCAGAGAGCAAATGATTTAGAATCTTTGTATGGTGATCAACCAGATGAGATGCTACCCAGTGAAAAAAAGACTTTGATCAAAGGTTTAAATAGTATTCTATTTGAATTAATTACACTATTGGAGACCTTCTATATGAAATATCAAATGAGGTCACTAGAGATAACTATAATGAATTTAGTAGAATTAACAAAGTTAGAAACTGATAGAAATGTATTTCTAGTTGATCATATTAATTATTCTGAAGCTTCATTAACTACTTTAACATACAATGCATACGTCGCTTTACAAGATCTTTGTGATCCAAGACATGGAGATCCTAAAAATACTATAATATTGATTATGGGTCATTTATTTCCTAATCTTTGTGTCAATGTTTTAGATTTACCAGCAAAAGCTGCTAATATACTGTGGGATACAATAATACTTTTTGTGAAAAAATTGTTAAATAGTCAAGGAACAGCTGCTGAAATGGGTATGGAAATTTTAGTTCAGAATTTATTAGCAAGACATCCAGAACGTTCAGATCCAAGACAAAAGCAAGCAGGCATTGTTGCAAAATTAATAAATATTTGTCAAGGAAGAAATTTTTGTAAATCAATAACAAACTTAGTTTTGTTTTGCCATAACAGTAAAGTATCCTACAGAATTTTTGGACAAGAGGTGATAATAAAGTTGTTACCAGAATTATCTGAAAATACAACTGAAAATGAATTAGATATGAGGAAAAAAACTAAAGCAATTTTGATTGCTACGGCTTTCAGCAGATCCATTGATACATCTAGTATGGTCAGAGGAAAAGCAATGTCAATAGTTGAATCACTCATCAATGACAATAAATTCAAAGTTGAAGATTTGCTAAATATGGAACAAACAGAGAAGCCTCTTCCCTCATTGAATGAATTATTGGAAGCTCTTGAAGAAGATATTAATCCACTTCCAGGTCCAAGTACTTTCAATTCTGTTTTGTTAGATCGAATAGCTGATGAAAGAGCTTTGGTGAGACGTAGCACTATCCATGCCATTAAAAATATTGTAACATATTTTCCAACTCTTATAGATCAAATAGTACCCACACTTGGGAAACATTGTCGAGATCCTGCATTATCTGTACGTAGAGATGCTATTCAAACATTAGCAACTCTTTTAGAAAATAATCCAAATAATAATATTCTCTTACATGAATATGTCAAATCTGCATTACCAAGAATATATGATGTTGAAATCAAAGTACAAGAAAAAGTTTTAGATACCTTACAGTATCTAGTTTTAACTAAAATAAAGCCTTCTATTGAAAATAGCAGTGAGGAAGTTGATCAATTACCATGGAAAATAATACAACTGATAACAGCATTGAAAATGAGAAAAAATTTGTTAAAAATCTGTGAATACTGGGTGAAAAATGGAGTCATTACTAATTCTTTAGTTAGTAAAGTACAAATGCATGTTGGAACAGATCATGACATGGAATCATGGGTATTGTTATCGGTATTTGCTGGGTATACAAAGCTAACAAATATGAAGCAATATTATGAAGATTACAAAAATATGTTGGAAGATAATGATTTTGTTTCTTATTTAAAATTAGAAACATTAGTATTCACATGGCAAGGTATGGGAAGGGATTTTTTAGAAAATTTGCATGGACATATTTTTGAGTGTCTATGTAAATTTCGTATAAATATTGAATCTATCAGTATATGTTTAGATTTATTGAGTGGAATGACAAAGCGATTGAATCCTGGTACAGGTGATGATTTGTTACGTTCCTATGCAAGTGATTTAATGAAATTGTCAGAGGCTCAGATTGATAAATTACCAGAGGAAAAGGAAGAAATTGAAAGTAAAACCATAGATTTATATTTAAAAGCTATGAATACTTTGGGACATGCCTCATTTCTTTGTAGTAACATTGCATCTGGAACAAGTTTGCATATTGTGCAGAGTTTATTACTAGATTGTAGTAATATCCCAACATCAGCTCATAATGCAGATAGACTTAAAGCAGCTGGTATTATTTTAATAGCACAGCAGTCTATGAGAGACCGTGAATTTGCAGAGACTGCTATGCCAGTCTTGGGACAACTGATGAGCAAAAGTGGTTCTTCCGAGTCTCCTACTCAAGCTGCTATCAGAATAAACGCTGTGAAAGCATTAGCAGATCTTTGCGTCAGATTCACTGCCTTAGTAGAACCATTTTTACCTGACATGTGTATATGTATGAAAGATCCAAATCCTCAAGTAAGAGAGACTATCATTGTGATATTTGTTCAGCTGCTGCTTGAAGACTTCATCAAAGTGAAAGGTGCATTCTTTTATCACATATTAACGATGCTATCAGATGAGGATGAAACAATCAGAGAACTGACAGTGTTTTTAATAAAGCAAAGATTATTGGCCAAAAATAAAAATCTTATATCACAATCTTTTGTAAGGAGTATATTTCATTACAACAATTGTCAAACAAAGAATAAATTCAATGATAGGGCAATCAAAAAGAAAGAGAAAGACGCTTTGACACTGCCGGGGAACAAAAATCAAGCCAAAAGACGAATAATTTATAACTTCATGATGGAGCATCTGGATCCACCAAGTAAGATAAAAATTTTGATGAAATTAAATTCCGAAGTTTTCGAAGCAGCTTGCGAAAAATTTATTCCCGTGAAGAAAACTGAAGGCGCATGTGTTCTTAAAGACGTTATGTACATAATTTCTAACGAAAGGTTGCAAGCTAATTATGGAAGTAAAGTGATAGACGACGAGAATCAAGACGAAGCTCCAACCGCGATGGAAACTCAAACCAGTAATGCGGTCAACGTTATTGTAGAAGGTATGAAGAAGTTTAAGAAGGAAGTCATGTTTAACACTTTGATCAAGCTAAGAGAAATGTTGAAAAAATCTAAATCACCGCTCATGGTCGATGCTTCCAAGTTTTTCATCAAGTTTCTATCCCAATTTAACAAAGATCAATTAGCTGACATGTTTGACGAACATGCCGCATTGAAAAAAGAAATTGACCACGACATGAGGTACGTCTTTTGAGTCTTTTTTTATCCAACCAATTTAAACATGTAACTTTCATATGTATGTATATATGTATATATATTTCTTTTTTCAAACAGTCTATACGGTAGGAATCCCGAAGAGGATGAAGAAGAGGAAGAAGACGAGGCAGTATCCGAGGCTGACTCCGGCGTTGAACAATCTACTCTAAATAGAAGTGCGACTGAAGATAGTGAGAGTGAGTGCTCGAAGACCCTAAAAGACATTAATGCAAACGTATCTCCAAAAAAATTATCGCAAGAAAAAAAGTCTATTTCATCGCCGACAAAAATACAAGATATATGTTGCCAACAATATCCGAGGATAGTTTTGCGAAGATTATCCACGTTGACATATCCTGGAATAAAAGCATGGAGAAGTCCTCCACGAGAGGAAGCCACCTGTTCTAGACTCTCGGATCCAGGTCCATCAAGTAGCGGTATATCCGTTTCGTCACAAATTACTACCGAAAGTACAACGTCTCCGGATTCGTCAGAATCGGAGTCCACCAGTTTACCAAGGCCAAAAAAAATGCCTCGATATTCCGAGGATATCAGTGATGATGAAGACTCTTAAAGGTACAAGCGTTGAGCGGTTGTTATTTCAATGTTACTGACAAAATTGTTATAGAATTAGTGCCTCTGCGTCTCTTACTGTTATTTTTGTATACTATTACTAAGATTTCCCGTCTGATATGCACATATATATTATTTGTATATATATACGACGTGACTCCACTTTGATTACATGGTTGTCTATTAATAAGAATTAAAAGATAAATTTGTCATCATAATGAAGAACTCAGGACCAAGCTATGAGTAACGGTATAGAAGTAGGATCGTTCTAATAAGTTGACCGAACTTTGACGCGTAAAGAGATGACAAAAATTTTTAGATATCAACGGTAATAGACGCAGACGAGACCTATATTTTTATGAATTTCGAGTGAATGATTACCTATTGAATCGACGCACCTACCTCTTAGTTTATTGTAGATTCTATGCGCTAGTTGATTAATTGTATACGTCCGAGCATTCAACTCGTTTTGAATGTCTGTAAAATGAGAAAACGGCTTGTGTTGGATTTTTGTGAAGTGACTCATATAGTTAACTAGCAAAATTTCACCTCGATTTGTGTGCAGAAGTACATCGTTGTGTATATTTTTAACGATAACTACATTTTCAATCATTACATCTATTAAGCCGCGAGTTTGCTGAGCCTGTTAACATATAATTTTCCAATCAGTTAATATTCCTAGAGATTGTGTTCAATTCCACAGTATTAAAGGATGCTATTGGAGATTATAACCACGGCTATCTTGTATAATAACACACTAACTATAAATAATTACGAATATGTGATGTTAATATAAGATAGACGCATACGTACTTCGTCCAGGAGATCATGCAACTTTTTGTTATGCTTCCTAAAGCTCTGCGCATATTTGGAAGAGCTGTTGCTCGGCGCAACATTGCACTTCCTGTCCTACAAAAAACAAGAGTATTCCGAAAAAATCGCTGGAAGCGCAATATATCGGTCGGCACTAATGGTAAACTATTAATGAAAGCGTTCGAACTTACTGCACACAAATCGGGCAATCGGTCGCGCGTCATGGTGTGCGTAACACTAATTCGCTATCTTCTGCGGCCGGTACTACCGAAGCATCGCCGGTTATCTTCGTTATCAGAGCAACGTGTTGATCATTGATAATGTCGGCCTGCTATTGGTGGTGTATTCTCATCGGCGATTTTATGCCTCTTCTGTGCTTTTGACTTTTAGTGCTCGAGCGCGACGAGCGACGCGTTAATGTTCGCGTGTCGCGCGCGAAACCCGCTTTCAACTCGAAACGTTCGGCACAGTTTCACGCTTAGACGCGCGCGAGCAAGCCGACCGCACCAATTTGCTTTGCATTCAAAATGGAAAGGAGGAAGCGACCACTTGGCGAACTAGAGACAAGGACAAACTTGGACTTCTTCGTCGACGGCTCGTACAATAGATCTTTTTTACTTTCTAACAATCTTTCATGTGTATCAGAGATGCGTGATTCATTATACTGTCGTCGTTTTTCGTTCTGGCTTGTTCCATTGCAGCGTGGGAAATGAAAAGTGTGCGGTGCCTATATCATATCTGTTACATACCGTAATCGAGAATGTAATGAGCGCGCATGAGACCGCGCGTACTATTCAATGATTTATTTCGTATTAACGAATTTAGCTCATCAGATTATTTATCGTTGCCTGATACTCTATCTCGAGTTTATTAATATAAAAAACGTTTTGATTTTCTTAAATATATATTACGATTAATGTAAATCTGATCCTTATAATAGCCATTAGTTGTGTTTTTGATTTCTCTTTGTTATCATAGTTTAGTATAGCGAGGAGTTTGATATTTGTAGGGTTAAAGCGAGCAGAAGAGTACAACAAAGTAAAATGTGCACTTGCGTCTCTACGTGTACTTTATCGGGCTTCAAAACCGATAAGTAAGCAGATCTGTGATATTTGGCAGAGTGACACTATACACTAGCTAGCGTGTAAATTAGAACAAAAACTAATGGTTTGTGAATTATACCAATTCAAAATAATAATAAAAGCGTATAGTTTTGCATAAATCACTGCAATTTTTATTATCACTCGAACTTCTCTCAAACCTTATGTGTGTATATATATATATAGATTTTTTTGCTGACTGCCAACAGTAACAAGGTTTCAACCTACGGTATAGATTCCGCGTTAGGAAGACATTCGCAAAATATATATAATATATCTTGTATAAATCATTTAAATATACAAAATCAATAAAATTCTCTCTGACTTTCGAATTACAATATAGAAAAAACGTACGCGCTTGGTAAAAAGTACACATACTCGTTTTCTTTTTCTCGACACTCGTCCGAGCAAATTTTACGTCGCGTCAGTCAGTCTTATCGAGTTTCAGCGATTACTTAAAAATCATGTTGTTTGAATTTTTGCTTAGAGACTGCTGATATCGTCGCGTAGAAGGGCGAATAAAGCGTCAAAGATAAGTTTCCTAACAATAGCTGCACAATCGTCGTGTTTTATTTATAAGTAATGGACGTATTCGAGTCATCGGTAAGCTACTGAAGATTGCACTGGTTTGGCTCTATATATATAATTGCATCGTCACAGCGATGGTTCGCGGCACGTCGCGTCGTCGCGCGAGGAACTTCTCAGTCGATCGCCACGTGCGCGCCCCGTACAAGCGCTAGCATGAGAGATCAGCGGCGGCTAGCAGGTCTGCGGGGGCGCGGTGGTCCTGGCGCGAACTTTCTCCTTGAGGTAACGGGCGACCTGGCTCTGCGAGTGCCTCATCGCCAGCTGCAGCGGAGTGATGCCCTCCTGATTGGCCAGCAGGGGATCCGCGCCAACGCCGAGGAGTTGTCGCGCCACCGTCATGTGACCCATGAGCGCCGCGGCGTGCAGCGCGCTCTCACCGTTCTACAACAAACGTACTAGGTTCGAGACTAATGGTTGAGGTGCCGGGGGAAAGCGGCGACGCTCCGTTGCCGAAGGTCAATGTCGAGCCGCCGTGAGTTTTCCGTGGATCGGTCGAACGAGGGCGTATCGGATGGGCTCCCTCCCCTCCAGGAATAGGCCCACCCTTTAGGAACTCCAATGGGAGAAAAGTTAGAGAAACTAGTGTGCAGAGGGTCAAGCCCGGAGGACAAATGCGTTTTCGGCAGACTGGTGTTTGCGACGGACGTAGCGCGTCCGACTACAAAGTCTCGCTTGGGCAATCGCTTGCCTGGCTGGATTTTCGCGGCTGATCGGCAATCGCGTCGGCGACGTGGTGTGTGACGTGCTGCAGCATAGTGACTGGAGGAACGGTCGTTGGGCGCCGAGCATCCGAGTGCATCGACAGATCTTGTGTAGTGATACGTGCGGACGTCGACAGATTAGTATTATTATTAGTATTAGTGGCAGAAAACGCCTGAGATTCGTGCGACATGGCGCGTCGCCGACAATAAACCTCAACGGAAACCTGGACACTGACCGCGACGCGAAACTAGTCAAGATGTCATTAATGATTGTGAATCAATGGGAGGTGCACGATCTCAAAAGTATCATTCGAGTTCTGGCCAAAAAAGTCGCACAAATAGTCGTGCAATCGAGGAACGGAAGGACAAGCAAAACCGAGTGCGAAGAAAATCCACTTGTTCACGAATGGTTCAACATGTCGATACCAGATGTACAAGAAATTAACGCGAAAACGGAATGCGCGTTACAGAAAGGTTCGATTGATGCGCCAACTCCTCTAATCATCGAGATATCATTGAACACGGCGGAAAAGGATGCGGTTCTGGAACTGTGGACTCTTGGTGTATTGTCGCATCACAGCGATTCCTCTCTGAAAGTGTCCAACAACGAAGTGTACGCGAAGATGGAAATATTACTGAAGTCATTGCTCCTCGTGACGAGGATGGTGCCTGGTTACAAGATAAGTCGTCGACAGGATCCCAACTCGTACGTCGTCAATTTTCGCATACTCAAAGAAAAACCGTATTTAGGCGTGCTCGGTCCCCGGTACGAGAGCGTGCGCGTAGGAAAGATGCTGACGAAAGCAGGCACCATTCATCTGGCTGGGTTTTATCGATCGAACATGGATTTGTCGTCCATCCCAACGAGTCGCAGCCCGTTAATGCTGGTGCAAAATCATTTTAAGGCGTCAAACGAGCCTGAGTATCGAGAGAACAAGGACGACGAGAGTTCCTACGACGCCATCGTGGCAGTTTTCGCGTCTAGTAAACACGAGCCTGTCAAAAAGGAGAACACCAGCATCGCGTTCGATTCGCTTCTGTCGATCTCGGACTCAAGAACGCCGTCGGAACTCACGGATAGCGTCGGCTACGGCAGCGACGAGCCAAATATTCTTGACGAATCGACCATAAGCGACTCCCGGGGCTTGACTGACGACGGCGGGATTCCTATACTAGGCATCACCTGTCCATTCGCCAATGAGAAGAAAGGTATGGCCAACCGCGAATTGGAGCGTTATTATCGCGACATTCGACTTGCGCCGTCGCTGTGCGAGTCCGATGAAGACAGAACGCTCGCGGAGCAGCTTGGCGATCTTGCCAAGCTTCTGGAGGTGTACGAAGAGCGATCAAAAGAATACGACGAATGCGTCGAGTTTTTACGCTCGGTCAAATGACCCTGCTGTCTACCAAAGTGACGCTCGGCATTGCCGCGTCGATGTACATTTGTTACAATAATTAAATGCTTCTTCCTATCAATTGTCGGCTTCTTTTATTTCTCGCCGATCCCACTTCGCTGCGGCTCCGTGCGCCGCGGACAACTCGAGCAACCACACTCGACATATACTTACGGGAAGAACTCCGAGGTTCGGACGGTACTTGAGCAATTCGCCGATGACGGCGGTGTGGCCCTTGTGCGCGGCTTTGAACAGCGGTGTCGCGCCATCCTGAAAGCCAGCACACGGTTAGCGCCAAGTCGGCAAGTGCGGACCGGCGGCGCGTACTCACGTGTCGCTTGGAGTCGACGTAGGCGCCGGCCTTGAGCAGCCTCCTGACCACATGGTCGTGGCCCATTTGCGCGGCGATCCAGAGCGGTGTCGCGCCGTCGGTGCGGGCCGCCTCCGCCTTGGCGCCGTACGCTAGCAGCATCTCCAAAATTCGCACGTGCCCGTTCTGCGCGGCGATGAACAGAGCCGTCGCGCCGTCCTGCGAATTCAGTCCCGAGCTACAGTCTTCTCGCGAACGGAGCTGGCCGACGCCGAGTGCGTCGCTCGTGAAACTTTCGATGGCGCCTCGCGAAATAACGAAACGGCTGTGCGCTCGACAGGGGAGAGGGGCGACTGCTCGCGAGGCTTCGGTGCGATCGATTCGTCGCGAAGCGGCGAATAACGAGAACGCCGTCGCGAGGATGATCGAGCCGCTCAGCGAAGAACGAGAGGAGGATCGGCGCGTTGGGCGCGTGCACTTCCGCGAGTGCAGCGCGCCGCGAGCCCGGCAGTCGCGTGTGCATGGCTCGCACGCGAGGGCGGAATCCGAGCGATACGCGGCTAACAGCACTCGAGCACGTCACAGCCACGCGAGGATCTCACTCGACGCACTGCTGCGCGTAACAGGCCAACTTTGCCTCCCTCCCCCCAGCCCACTCACCTTCATGTGCGCGTTCACGTTCGCGCCCTTGGCTATGAGACCCTCGACCACGTCCAGATGGCCACACTGACACGCCACGAACAAGGGTGTACCGCCATCCTGCGGACAGCGAGATGCAATAAGCAATTAGCCTTCCTCGCGAGCTCTATCGTGGAAAGTTGTAGAGTAGTTCTCCTTTGCCTCGGGTGTGGCGCAGCCTGTTGATCGATTAACGGAGTGAAGGGTTTGAGTCTGATTGCACTTACGATGCTACAGGAGTCGACGGTAGCTCCGCTTTTTATCAGGATCTCGGCGATGTCCATGAAGCCGCCTTGAGCGGAGAAAAACAGCGCTGTCGTGCCCGTCTGCGAACGAGACAAGAGAGGAGCGTCAATTAGCGACCGAGAAAGAAAAACGGAGATTAGTACCGATCGCGCGTCAATTTGCAATCCCGTCGTCAAACTCTAAATTTAAAAGACAAAGTTGCGCGCGGCGAGCGTTCAGCGAAACATTCAGCGGCGGCGGAGCGGCATTACTCGGAGCGCGCGTGTACACGTATAGGCAAAGCGGCTTGCGTAACGTCTACGCTCGATCATCCGCGCCTCTCTCCTTTCGCGAGCAGTGTACGCTCGGCGCGCGCCAAAACTCACCTCTCACCGCGCATGCAAATATACCCATTCGGAATCCTCGCGAAAATCGTCCCTTTCGCGTAGTCGTGCGTGCCGCGCGGGGTCGGCGACCTTATCCCCGCGCCTGTCGCGAGGCGCGATGCACTTTCGCTCGCGCGCCGATAATTGCGCGTCCGAGCGCGGGAGCTTGCGATTCGGAAAAATCGCTCTGGCCCGATTGCCGCGCGCGCTCTTGCTGCTCGTTTCGCGAGCCGGGGCTTTCACTTCGGGAAAGTGCACCTCGGCTGCTGCGCCTCGCGCGACTTTTTTCTCTTCTTTGCCGAAAATAGCGCGTATCCTCTCGCCGGCCTATCGCCCGTCGCCGACAGCGCGCCCGAGCAACGTGGAACGAGAAATTTTCAGCCGGTCGATTTGCCGGAACATCCTCGTTAATAAAGACGCGAGCGAAACTCTCGCGGAATGCCCATCGTGCCCGCGCGCGCGCAAGAGATTGCCGATGAGATCCCCAACCCTTCCGTCGCCGTCGCTCACCGCGCCGCAGTCGAACGTAAAACTACGGCTCGCCGCCGCCGCCGGCGAGGGACAATAATACCTATCCATTACGGATACCGCAGGAATTCTAGAGTTTTGCCCGTCCGAGCCTTGTTCTGCATCGTCGGCCGTTTTACTGTTTCTCTCTCTCTCTCTCTCTCTCTCTCTCTCTCTCTCTCTCAGCTTTTTTCTCCTCTTCGCGAGCGAAAAATATGCGCTGCTGCGCTTCGGAGATGCCGTTTATCGAAATGAGCGTTGCTGCGTTTCGTGCGCGGAAAATCAATTTGACGAGACGCGGTGCCTCCGACGCGAACGCTCGCTATTATTTCGCGCTTAGCGATTGATCTGGAGTCCGCGCTATAGCTTTCCCGTTGTCGAATTGGCGACTCTGTGCATGCGCTGCGGCACAGTTACTTATCAAACGCGCTCATTGCCGGGACAGCTCCGTTCGACGCACATTCAGCGATCGAGCTTGAGTCGATGGCTGCGGTATCGCGATAAGCGTCCCAAACGTTCGAACTGGCGGCGCAATTTCAGCTCGAGATCGCTCGTTCGCGCATGGTGTCGCGCGCGACATGCGATTATCAAAATGTCACTCTTCGCACTTGACGTCGCGGCTCCCTCCGCGCGATACTACGTCGGCCATGCGATCAAACGCGAGTTCGTCGATCGTGCCAATTGCAAAATGCCTGAACTTCCTGAACTTCCAACAGTATATCGTTTCGCGAGACGCTCGAAATAGACCACGCGGGCGGTGTTCAGGGTTCGATATTGCCGTGCGAGCGCGAGCAGCTGTTTTCTGGGGGAAGACGCGAACAAAGCGCGACGCCGCGCCGGACGTCGTTGAAAAACAGCTCTTGAAACACAAGCTCGATCACGAGTACATACACGCGGTACATACTCGTGTGTACATAGTACGACCTTCGCGTTAATTACGTGTGTTCCGCGCGATAACAAGTTATGTCACCCTATCAATTAACAAACGCGCGCACTGTGACGCGCGGACTTTCGAAAGTAGCGCGCGACTTGTCCAATCGCCACGAATAAGGAGGACAAAAGGCGTCCTCGGAGGTTATTTTCGGCAACGAGCGCGGATTTCGCGGAGAAGGCACGCCGACTATACAGCACGATCGCGTTCTCGCGGCCGCGGGGGCGCACGAGTGTTTTATCTTCACGTCGGCGATATAATAAAACGCACCGAATGTAAATTCCATGTCGCGCGTTTGGCCTAAATACGAAATTTTACAGTTCCTCACTTCCTGCTTTTCGAGCAGCGGTGGCGGCGGCGGTGGCGGCGGCGGCGGCGGCGGCGGCGGCGGCGGCGGCGGCGGCGGCACCGCGTTGCACTCCATAGTGACGTGCGAAAAAAAAAAAAAAAGAAAAGTGCAACGATGACGCCAAACAGCTTTATTCGGCATTGTTGTCTTTGCGGCGGATGGGCTTGGGTGTTTTATACGATCGCTCGCTTTTTGTGTGTACTTTGCTCTACAAAGACCGTCGCTCCTTTTGTTTGCTTTTTTTTTTCTTTTTGCGCAAGATTCTCGAGAGAGGAAGTTCGTCAGCACGGCAAACACTAGAGTCGTAGCGGCTTTGAGCTCATCGATCGTTGTCATAGCGCATTCTCATAAAATTTCTACGATTGTAGAGGCGACCGGCCACCGCGAGCACAAGACATCACAAAAACCGCACCGCTTCGTTAGGCGTCGATCAACCGCAAAATGTATATCTACTTTCAATTACGGCGCTTCCGTCGATGCTTTTTTTTTCGACTCGGCGGAGATCGATCGTTGAACTTTCGACGCGGCGGCGGTGGCGACGGCAGTGCTATAGATCGGAGTGAGAGGACGAGGCGGGAGGAGGGAGAACTCACCAGTCTCTTGGCATTGGGATCGGCTCCCTGCTGCAGCAACTCGACCACGGCGTCGGTTTGACCTCCGGCTGCTGCCAAAATCAGCGGCGTCGTGCCATCCTATCGGCAACGAGAAAACCAAAACGTCAACTTTGGCTTCGGCAAAAGCGCGACAAGCATGCCTCTTTGCCGCCTGTTTCGTCGAGAAACCAGTTCCCATTGGTGTCGCTTTTATCGTATTACGCGACTTTTCGCCCTGCTCGTCAGCGTGCCGTGCAGTAGCGCGCGAAGCGTGTAATTTTCGCGTCGCGGACCGGCACGACTCGTCTTGTGATCGGTGCGATCGAACGAAATCAATCGGCGGTGGCGTGCGCACCCTCGGATTAATCCGACGAGTCCGCGTCTGCCGCGATCAAATTGCTCTCGCGCGATGATCGATATCGCGCGGTGAAATTCCCGACTGCCGTACCTGACGCCCAGCGGATAGCACGACGCGCGAACAGTCGAGGATAAATAAGCCGGTCGGAGCGCAGACGCAGGAAACAATGACGCCGGCACCTCCCACACGAACCACGCGGCCCCGTTAAGCCGCGCCGGCTAATTGAGGCTGTTGCGCAACGACCACGACACGCGACGGAGATGCGCCTCGGCCGTGTCGACGCGAGAGCGCCTAACGAAAATGGGAGAGGAAGAGAGAAACTGGCTGACTGACTGACCTTGTCCTTGCAGTCGACGTGCACACGGCCCGAGTCCAAGAGCACCTGCAGCCGCTTCGCATCGCCGCGCGCCGCTGCCAAGTGCAGCTCTACGTCCCACGGCGACTCCTTCTGCAACAGTTTTCACGCGCATCATTTATCCGTGTCGCTTGCGCTGCTACGCGTCGCCTGTCATCGTTGCACAAAACGGCAAAGCTCTCGGAGTCGATGAGCCAGATATTACGCGCGCATACTTATCGCGGCCTTCCCGCGAGAAAAAAAATATTCTTCATTGGGCCGATAAGCCGTTTAGGGAAGACGAGCGGCGATGGGATATTGTACAAAAGACTAGAAAACTCGCTAGGAGAATAACGAGAAACCGCACGCGATAAGAAATCAATGTCACAGCTTTTTTACTTGTTTGCCGAGAAACGGATTATTCGCAAAGGCTAAGCACTGGTCGAGGTGTGTGTTACCAGGGACGTCTATTTTCAGCGTTATTGTTACGCTCCGCGACGATCCGATAATAGGTGAATCTCGCTATCAGTCGACGACACGAAGCTGCGGGACAACTGCTAATCGTAAAATCACCTGCTCTGCCCGAAAGCTCGTTCTATTTGAGTCTCTCGATGTCTCTCGATGTCTCTCGATGTGTCTATAAATAAGCAAGGACGCGCTCGTTCTTGCACCTCTCGTCGCGAACAGCCCAACGCTGCTTATCGTACAACGGAACGCTTTTGTAGTAAAAGTTCCCTGTTCCTAAAAGCAAGACTGCGCGCGCTTTCGCTCTCCTACTTCGCGGAATCCCGTATTTATTTATGCTTCCGCGAGATGATCGAGATAAACGAGCTTGATCTCGCCAGCGCGCTGTTATATTCCTCGAGATCACTCGGCGCTTCGTGAGGCGAATGCCAAAAATTATCTCAACTCGCTCCTCTCAATTACCGTGCCGGAGATAACAGATACGCGTGCCGATGCCACGATTCGCTGTGTAGAGTAGCAGTGTTGTTTGTAATTAAAAAAACAAGTAAAATAAAAAAAAAGGCAATGATAAAAAGAGCGTAAAACGAGTCTCGCCGACGTGCAGGGGGAAAAGCAACCAGCAAGGTACACGCTCTTTTTTTTTTCGAAAGGCTTCGGTTGCAAAAGAAAAAAAGAAACAAATCTAACGGTAAAGAGTTTGTGCAAGAGCGCACGGCCAGAACGCGTGTTCGTCGATTAAGCGCGCGGCGAGCTTCCTGGTGGTTTCGTCCTCTTGCGAAATTGAGGAATTGGCGACGAGCGGCGATAGACAGACTGGCGTACCTTCATGGACATGTCAGCGCGGTGCGGTGTGTCATGTGTCGGCGATCATTGCGCGAGAGGCACGGTGCGCCCCTCGATGCTCGCCTGGCGGGTTGGATTGCCAGCGAGATTCGCCGAGCGACGATCAGCTGTAGAGCAGCCGCAGCCCTCTGCGACACTGGGTTTGCGAGTTTTGTCGTCCGACTTCGGCTGGTTCCGCGCCGCGCTCGGCTATCGGACCGCGAGACAAAACGACTGGCGAGCGACGTACTCGACGCTGCAGCTGCTCGGGTACACTGAGCCGCCGTTCGGCGCGGTAGCTCACGAGCCTCCTATCGAAAGCAGTCAGCGAGGGGGCAGAGGGCAGCAGGCGGCACAGGTGTCCGTCTGTATGTAGTTTCTCATTTGACGTTCGCTCTTATGATAACTGACAACGCGCTGTGTCAACTCTGTTTAAATATAGCTTTCATGTTTTACCAACTGCACAAGCTATTCAGTTTATTAAAGACTTTTTGTGTTTCAAGGCGCGTATTATTGGACGTCCCGGGAGTTAGTTGCCTGAAGTTATACTTCACAATTTACATGCGAGTATACCCGGAAGACCACTTGATTTCATATGTTAAAATCGAACAATCTGTGAACATTCACATATCACTGATAAATGATGTCTCATCGAATACACAATAAATGTGTCAGTCTTTACCTGCAAATGACGAAATGTTGATGAAGAGCGCGAGAAGCAAATAATTTTTAGTAAATTGATGTTGCAATATAAAATTTCACGTCTATATTATTTTTAGTAATTTAATTTTTCTGTTTTATAAAACTACTCCGAATTAAATTTAATTGTAATTTACGAATATTACGATATATATAATATATATTATTATAATATATATTATAATTATATATAATATATATTACAATAGTCACAAGATTGTTTAAAAACGTTCGTTTAATCGTGTATAATAACTATCATTAAAGAAAAAGTATATAACAATGAATTATTTAACTAAATTTTTATTTACCTTTCGATACAGTGATACTTATCACACAGTCTTAACTTTTCACTAAATGTTTCTGCAAAACAACCAAAACTCTTCAAGTAAAATTTACATTTAAATTTACCAATAGAAGATATTTGGATTTGGTCGATTTCTTTTAAAAAGAAAAAATAATCTATATAAAGTAGAAGTTTTGTTCAGTTGGATTCATACAAAAAGAGAAGTATAATATAAATATAATATAAGAGAAGTATAAAACATGCTTGACCTCTATTTTTTCTTCTTTTATTTACTGCTTCGTCAAAGTCTATACCTCAATAATAAAGTATTCAGTTCACGAGCATAATTGATTCTGAACCGTAATAGTGCATGAGAATATTCAGACTACTATATATATGTGTACCCAAGTGAATTTATCGATTATCGGCATAAACGAAAACAAATAGAGTTTAGTTTCAGAAAATGCCTGTAGCTATCCATATATTAATAGGTTTAGAGCGGCATTTTAAAGATCTGTCAAAACAGCAGTGAAACTGTGAAAAGTGTTTACATCGCTAGTAGAGCTATTTTCAATTGCTTTTTCACTTAATTATTGACACTTACGACTTCTTAGCCTAAATGTTTATTACCTGCAAGTAGTCATTTCAGTTAATTCATTGCTAAAAAGAAACAACTAAATGATTGGTGGAACAAATCACAACGATTATTTATTTATACTCAGATAGCAAGTAAGTAAATAAAATTTTATCGAAATATTATATTGTAAAATGAATTTACAAAGTAGTTATTATTTAATTATTTCTAATTATGTTTCACTACCGATATATATATTCTATTTTTATCGTTTGGCATATGATAATATCCACTTGTTGATGTTATATTTACCATTCTAATTATTCAATTTTAGAATGATTAATGATTTTTTTTTCGTATTGAGTCAGATCGAATGGGAAATACAAACACCAGAAAATATCATTATGCCCATCGACAATATGCCAGTCAGGTAAAAGCCTAAATTTTCTAATTTTCTAACCTAAAAGCATTTTTAAACAATTTACTAATTTGTTATTTTACTTTATAGTATAGCATTAGTGATATTATAAGTGGAAGATGGGGAAGGTCATCTAGAACATCTTGTGAAGATCTCAGACCTTGGTCTAGATTCTCTCGAAGAAGGTATTAATTATTTACTTTTAGCTTATCAAAATAACAATTTATTTACCTCAAGTCAATTTCAGTTGGAGTGTTAACACTTTAAATGATTCGTTTAATTTGTCAAAGACTGCCTGGCCTGTGCCAAGATTTGAAGCTATTTTTTTACCAGAATTTCCTGTTCGAGAAACTCCCTTAAAAAATGACTATATATTCATTGATATTATTTCCAAAGGGGCTTATGGTAGAGTGTACAAAGTAAAACATAAGGAGACAAAAGAGGTTTTTGCTTTGAAAATAATTAGTAAAGCCAAGATAGTTGCTGAAAGTGCAGTGGAACAATCCAAACAAGAGGTAAACAATCTTATAATTGATTCAAAGAAAAAATCTCATCAATTATATCTTCTAGGTATCGATACAAAGAGCAGTTGGTCATCATGTGTTTATAGCTAATTCTCCCTATCACTGGCAAGGAAGAAAAACATTGTACATATGTAAATATCTATAGGTTTTGTAAGATGTAATTTGCATTGATAAATTGTTCAAAATATTGTATTTCAGTAACACAATTCATCAGTGGAGGTGAATTATTTTCTCTAGTCGAACAATATGGCTGTTTACCAGAAGATGTGGTAAGAATATATGTTGCTGAAATAGCTCTTGCATTAGGTAATAAATAAATTTACATTGTTAATTATACCTATAAATTTATTTACTTAAAATTGTAATTATATGGAAACTAATACAAAAAACTCTGTTATAGATTTTTTACATAATGCAGGAATCATACACAGAGATTTGAAAGCATCAAATATTTTACTTGATCATGAGGGCCATGCAATGTTGATAGATTTTGGTTTAGCCAAGTGGTTGCGACCAATGCAACGGACTGCAACAGTATGTGGAACATTTGAATATATGGGTAATATTTTTACAATATACTTATCTTTTTGATGACTATTATTTACATTTATGGGAAACTTATTTAGCTCCGGAAATTGTAAAAAGACAGTATTATGGACATGAAGCTGACTGGTGGTCATTGGGTGTGTTGGCTTGTTTTCTGCTAATAAACAAGGTTAGTAAAAAACATTGTTTTTTAAACAATCAACCCAGTAATAAACATAATTATGTTTCACTTATTTTTCATATTGATAATATTGTAATGATTTTGTTTTTAACAATTTCATAAATAGTAAATGTCATATTTATTCATAATTAAAAAGATTCAGTTGATTGAATCTGAAATAATATTTACAAAGGCATACCTACATATATATATCCTCTATAAGTGTGATCTATACTCAAGAACAGACAATCACTCGACTCCGTGGCGCAACGGTAGCGCGTCTGACTCCAGATCAGAAGGTTGCGTGTTCAAATCACGTCGGGGTCAAATTTTTAAAAAATTTTTTTATTTAAATATTTTAGTTTTTTATGCGCATATTTTTATCATTTAATTTATGATTGTGTAAAATTATTATTTATTTTAATTTTAAATTTTGAATTTGTACTATATAGACTTTGTTTTTTTTCTTACTTAATGTGTTATTACGTGATAAAAATAAAAATAGATTGTTGTATTTGTTTACTTTATTTATAGCAGTGCATTTAATGCCATGTTTATTCTTTTGGCAAGTTACGATATTTATAGTTCGAGTACAACGAGCTAATTATAACTTCTAGCGAGCTCAATCATAGACGATTAGCAAAGTAATGAGAATGTATATTTAAAACATTTATATTTTTAATAACATAGCCTATTATGAAAAAACATTTCAGCAAATAAAATTTTTAAATTTATATTTTTTATATTTCTTGACGACTTTATTGATTTTCGTTTAAATTGAATGAATAAACTATAAATACTTTGAGTAAAATGTTTAACGATGAAAATTATTTCTATAATTAATAATTCAGAATCATAAGTAGACTGGTGATACATCTAGCATAATTTAATTTATTATAAAATAAAACGTATGGTATAACAAAAAAAAAACGCCCCCGGGTGGGCTCGAACCACCAACCTTTCGGTTAACAGCCGAACGCGCTAGCCAATTGCGCCACGGAGGCTTCGACAGGTTTAGCTATAATATATATGACGCTTAGGAGCGACGGTCCTCACGGAAGCCAGAAGGGAGGACGTCGTCGAGCTGGCACCAGTTGCTGCAGTGTTCCGGCTAAGTCAACGCACATGCATGATTTAAAAATTAAACAATATACTCACACACATACATACATATATACTGCACCAGGCTTAAGCAAGCTAGACTTGCTATCAGAAGCGGGTGCTGGAACACTGCTGCAACTGCTGCCAGCTTGACGGCGTCCTCCCTACTGGCTTCCGTGAGTACCGTCGCTCCTTACATATATCTTCGCCGGTATGGTGTTGTCTCCATCTCGCGCCGCTTAGGGAGCTTAGGGCAGCTTAGGAGACGCGGCTTAAATTGATTACACTATTAACTCCCTCCTTCGCCCTAAGCGAATTGTTTAAATTATTTGTATTATATGATTGTTTTTTTAAATGTATATACATATATGTATATACATATATGTATATACATATATATAAGTATATACACTCACACTGTGTGTGTGTGTGTACGTGTATATATACTTATAAATGTATTTATATATGTATATGTATATGTGTATATGTATACATGGCACATTCCAGACTGACGATCAGCTTTTTAGGGGTAGGTTTCGGATTTTCTTGAAACTTAGTCTACATATTGATTATATGGTACTGTATTCAAGCATGGATTATTAAATTATTATAATAATTATATCAAGAGTTATAAACAATTGAAAATTTTTTACGAAAAATTTTCAAAAATTTATATCTTCGCAATCATTTAAGTTATTAAAGCGAATTTTTTTCAAATTACGCATAAAAGGGTGTACTTTAAAAATATTGAGTGAACAATACTTTAATATCAATTTTTCCAAAAGTTATTAACATTTTTTTTAAACAATTATCCCTATCTCAAAAAGTATTATTTTTATTTTAAAAATTATTTTTTTATTGAATTACTTGACGTTTTATCTTTAAGAATACGTTTTAAAATTCATCGAGCGATCATTAGATGCGACACAGTGAGCGATAATAGTGGACGCCCACAGGCCCTACGACGCCGATAAGTTGGTAAGTTTGATAGCAGCGCCGATGCGCGGCCGACAAGCGTCGTAAGGTCTGTCAGCGTCCACTATTATCGTTCACTGTGTCGCATCTCATGATCGCTCGATGAATTTTAAAACGGAATCTTAAAGAAAAAATGTCAAGGAATTCAATAAAAAAATAATATTTAAATAAAAATAACACTTTTTGAGATATGGATAATTGTTTAAAAAAAATGTTAATAACTTTTGGAAAAATTGATATTAAAGTATTGTTCACTCAATATTTTTAAAGTACACCCTTTTATGCGTAATTTGAAAAAAATTCGCTTTAATAACTTAAATGATTGCGAAGATATAAATTTTTGAAAATTTTTCGTCAAAAATTTTCAATTGTTTATAACTTTTGATATAATTATTATAATGATGTAATAATCCATACTTAAATACACTACTATATAAACAATACGTAGACCAAGTTTCAAGAAAATCTGAAACCTACCCCTGAAAAGTTAATTGTCATAGTCTGGAATGTGCCTCATAAGTCTTCTGCTCCATTGTTAGATCAAATATTTTTAATAAAATTTCCTCTGATTTCTGAAGTTTTAAGAACCGTTTCTATAATATTTAATTTCATGAGTAATTTTCTCTCCTTTTGATCTAAAACAAATTATTTTATTCAAAGAATTTTATAAAATAATTTTCATTTTAGCTTATTAAATTATATTTTGATAATGATAATTTATTCGCTCTGATATTAATTTAAACTTTATTTATCTTTATTAAAATGTCAACATATTTTCTATCGATTTGGCATTTCATTGTACTTCACCAGTAAGTGGCTCCATCTATGTAGGAGAAATTACAATCTCGACTAGTGAAAAATTTGTACGAAACCACAAATTCTCATTTGGTATAAATGGAAAATCGGTATTCGAGATATTCGAAACATTTCTGATATGATGGATTCTAGTTAAACAAAATAGTACGTAATTTTACTTCACTGCTCCAATATCGAAATTCGTGGCTAACCATTAATCAGAAAAGTGCTAACTAAGCGAATTCCTGCTTTCAAATCTTTTCGAGTGTATGAAAAATTACAGGTTTTTCAAAGAGTGGAAAAGTAAATCTGCACAGGCCAAATTAATTAATTTAAAAAAATAAGCGTCTCTTGATGTCGTAATACATAAAGTGCATTTACAATTTCGCTTTGTGTAATCAATTTGTCGATTGCCATGACACTATGTCTACTGACCTAATTTTACTTTGATTATATAAATTAATACCCGAGACACTGTATGAAAGGAGCTGTAACAAGATTATTTTAATGCCTTTAGAATGAAAATAAGATTGAAAAATGCGAAGGGACATATGTGAAATCACCGATAGAATGAAAATTTCAGCTCTCCAAGATATGTATTTGAAATCTAATTCAGTAAAAGAAGTGTCTACAGACGCTCTTGAATTGATCCAACCATAAGTCATTTTCCGCAATCCATTTGTAGAAAACTAACATTTCGTTATCTAAAGCTATATTTACCAGATTGAAAAATAATTAGCGCGCTAATGAAGAGTGCACGCCGATAAGCGAAACGGGAGCGCTGCTATTTGCAAATTAACGCACAGGAAAATAAAGCTTATCGGGAGTTAAAAAAAAGAAAGAAAAAAGCGTACGACGCGACGTGAAGTTTGTCTTCCTGGCGGCATGGCAGTGTGGTTAATCGAACAACGTGTATAATCGGCGCGACGGAACGGAAGCCCACGATTATCACATCTAAGCCGCGCACGCCCGGAATATTCAAGAGAGCTGTGAATCAGTTCGCGCTGCTGTGTACGTGTACAACGTCTACGCGCGCGGCGCAATTAATTCGCACGCGATATATCGTTGCACGGGACCGCGTGACCGATCGGACGTGCTGCTCAGCCTGATTAGCTCTGCACGCTTTACATAGCATTTTCCGCTTTTTTCTTTTGTTTTTTTTTTTGCTGATAATATATACATATGCGATGGGATTGGAATTTATGAGATTGACAAGGATGATTTGTTGCTTGGTAATAAGTAATTAAGCAAGTGCGGAGATTATTTATAATTGTTTATTTATCTAACATTATCAATAAGGACAGAACAGAAGCCAGCCAGTAAAGTATTCTGATTCGATCGTCGTGTGAAAATACAAAGGATATCTATAACATATTGATTTATTACTAGATGTTCATGCAATTAGGTACTAATTACTATACAGTCGCTACTTGAGAGACACCTGCTTTGTTTTGTCTAGTAAATTCGATACTCCGTTGCTGTTATTGTTGTTTCGTCAACGAGAACCTTTACTTTTTTAAGAAGTACTAGAAAATTTATAAGATACCCAATAAAGTAAAAAAATCGACGGAAGTACAAGTATAGGTTATTATTTTTTCACGACTGATATGACGTGTGCCTATATTTTAAAAGGTCCTGTGAATTATAAAGTGATCAAGAAGACTTTCGTCGTTACGATAAGTCGCCAAATTGATATCAAAGAGATTCTCGAGGCAAAATCATTGTTCAATCTAAACGAGATCGTGAAATCACGCGTGGACGAGCACCAAATTCCTTGCAACGTAGTAGCGACTCTGACAACTGAATTAAGGTTTTTTTAGCTGCTAGCCAACTTATCTTAATTATAGAGCTTTTCTTCTCAACCGTGGAAATTGTGCTGCTGTTTTTTTTGTTTTTTTTTGTTTCAGTTTCTTGATTTTCAATGAAAGACAGCCAACTGACGTGACAAAATAAACAATATCGATTAACAATTCTAAATTTATCTATAATCCGACGTCAACGTTATTTATATACTTTGTTTTTCCCTCATACAAATGCAATATATAAACTACAGTAAATTGTGTTATTCCTCGTATAATTAATTATTTCACATGCAAATATGTATAGTAAGTACATTTACGTTTATACCTATTATCAAACTGGATTTCAATATCTTTTATCTATCTTATCATCACGTTGAATTCTTGTCAACATATTGCTCACATTACAGTAATAAGTATAATGAACGCATTGGAATTGAATTCACGTACTTGTTACTCTCGGTCAGCGTATCATTTTTTTTTATTTCTTTTTCAATTTTTTATTTTTATAATTCAACATTAGTGGATTTGATAAATTGATCGTACATAACTGGAATGTGTGGGCTCTTATCTTTTCAATAAACTTTCTTCTTACGAATTGGAATTACTTATTGTAAAGAAGAGAAAGATGCATATACTCATATGGACTGTATAGAAAATATAAAGTATAACACCCTTGAATTAAGTCTTCGACGGCACTTCGTTTACTTTCACGAAGCGCGATACTGTGATTGTTGTAGAGTGTCTGCAGTTGTGTACGTGTTTCATTTGCTTTTTTTTGCTTGCTACATTAATTCTTGCGCTGATACATGCGAGAGAAAAAAGAGAAAAAATATGGTGTAGTATATGTTGGCAGAGTAGAACGAAAAAAAACATCGTTGGAGTGTGTCATTAATAATTATTATTTTAACGAGGATGATAGCAAATAATACAAATAATAAAATACGAAATAATAATTATAATAATAGCGGTACTGTCACTAACGATAATAATAATTATCAGTAATAGGGATACTGAGAGCATGTGTGTGTCTGTATGTCTGTGCGTGCGTGCATATGTCTGTGTATATGTGTGTGTGTGTGTGTGTGTGCATTATGCGTGCAGGTGTATTTATGTAGGCGGGAATTGCAAGGAGGGGGCAATGAAAGGAATATTAAAAAAGAAAAGAAATGCAATGTTAAAGACAACTGATGAGAAATGGATCGGATGATGAAAGCGTGCGTCCCAGGCGAACTTTATAGCACCGGAACCGTATTCAATACTCTCTTTCTTTCACTCGGTGGCATTCACTCACAAATCGTGTGTGTCGAGGATGACCGGGTATTAAAGTCCCATAGTCATATTGTATAGGGTGGCTCGACTCTGCACAGGACGGTCTGGTCGCGCGCGTGCCTATGTGTGTGTGTGTGTGTGTGTGTGTGCGTGCGTACGTGTGTGTGTTTGTGTCATTCACGCGCAATACACCGTTTACACGTTCGTCAAACACTCGCTCTAGCGCTAATTTGCGCTCGGTTCTCTCTCTCTCTCTCTCTCTCTCTCTCTCTCTCTCGCAATCTCGCTCCCTCACACTCGGCGTGTTGTATTAAAATCGACGTAACATCAGATTTCGGAGCGTTTAAGATATCGGCGCCTTGGCCTCTGCTGCTTGGTTCTCCGCCGTGATCGGCGCCGATTCCTTCTTCATCTCCTCCTCGCTGCTGTCCTTCTCCTCGCTGCTTGCCTCCTTCTTTTCATCGTCCTTCTTCTTCTCCTCGGGCTTCTTGTCGCTCAGCTTCTTCTCTTCGCTGCTGTCGTCCTTCTCCTCGCTGCTGTCCTTGTCCTTCTTGTCCGTCGTGGATATCTTCTCGTCCTTCTCCTCGAGCAGCTTTTTGTCCACGGGCATGGCGTCCTCCTTCTTCTCGGCGGCAATGGGCTGAGCGACGGGCGCGAGCTTGACCTGGTCCTTCACCTCCTCGGGCTTGGGCAGCTTCTCGGCCTTGGCCTCGTCAGCCACCTTGGCGGACTTCTCGATGGTCTTCTGCTCCTCCGCGGGCACGGCGCGCTCGGGCTCCGCCTCCTTCGCCGCGGGCGCCTCCTCGCGGGCCGCCAAGGCCGGGCTCTCGAGCTCGGGAGCAGCGGCGGCGACGGCGGCGGCAGCGGTGGCGATCGGGCTGTCCTCGGAGCGCTGTTCTTTCGCCGCGGCGGTCTCCTGCGCGGGCTTCAGCGGCTCCACGGACTTGGCCTCGACTGGCATGGGCTTCTTCTCGAGGTCTTCGACTCTCTTCGGCTCCTCGGCGGCGGCGTCGAACGGCTTGATCTTGGGCTTGTCCTCTTCCTTGAGAGGCGTGGTGGCCTCGACGCTGGGCTCGGCCGCCATGACGGCCAGCCCGGCAGCGGACTTGGCCTCGACGGCAGGTGTCTTCTCGACCTCGAGCTTCTTCGCGGCGGCTTCCTCGGCCTCGCGGGTCACGCGCATCTCGTCCGGCTTGGCCGCCTCCTTGGCGGCCTCCTTGGCCGCCTCCTTGGCCGCCTCCTTGGCCGGCTCGAAGGACTTCTTCTCGATCGTCAGCGGCTCCTCGACGCTCTTAGGCTGGGCCGGCTCCGGCACGAGCTCGGCGGTGGACGCCGACTTGGGCGCCTCGGCTGGCGCGGCCGGGCTCTCCTTGGCCGGCTCGCTTTTGGCGTCCTCGGACTTCCTCTCGAGCGTGGGCGCCGCCTGCGAGAGCGACGACGAGTCAGCGCCCCGGGAGCTCGCCGCGGACGCGCCACTCACCTGCTCCGCGAGCTTCTCCGTGGGCGCCGCCTCCACCTCGGGTTTCTTCTCCTCCTCGAGCAGCTTCTTCGGCTCCTCCGCGAGCTTCTTCTCCTCCTCGAGCTTCTTGGCCGGCTCCGTCTCGAGCTTCTTCTCCTCCTCGGCCTTCTTGGGCATCTCCTCCTTCTTCGGCTCGTCCAGTTTCTTGGGCAGCGAGTCGTCGATCTTCTTCTCGGGCTCGATCGCGCGAGCCTCGGTCGGCACCACCGGCTGCTCGCCGCTCAGCAGCACCGGCGCCGTCGACCTGCTCTTCTCCAGGGGCACTACGCTTGCCGGTGCCGGTTGCTGCTCCGCGGCCTTGCGGTCGTCCTCGGCCACTGGCATCGCCATGGCCGACACCAGCAGCAGGCACAACGTTGCGAGCGTCAGCTTCATCATCTTTCGTCTCAACTGCGAATCAGACCAAATGCAAGCTTTGCGTTATTCTTTCGTCCCACGCGGCAAGTTGCTCTTGATCGCGGGCGCGCGAATCGCCGGAGTTCGGCTCGCTGGTTTTCGTGTTCGTCGGCGCGCGAAACCGACAGCCGGATAAAGTCTGGGGGCCGTGCTAGCGCGGCGCCGAACCAAACGCTAAGTCGCGGGCTGATCGATCGGGCAACCTCGCGCATCTCGCCGCAGCGAGTCGTAATGAAACGCGCGGCCTGGAGTAATTTCGATGATCAAAGAGTGTCGGCGAGCAGCAGCAGCAGCAGCAGCAGCAGCCGCAGCAGCAGCCGCCTATCAAAGTTCCGAATGTGGCAGGCAGGAGGAATAGAGAAAAAGGGTCGATCGATCGATGCGAGGCGCGCTTGGCGGCGGTTGCGACGCGCGTGCATGTGGTAATGCCCCCGCTATGACTTACTAATGGCGCGGGGGCTTGTAATTTCGCATCGGCGACGAGAACGGCAATTAGCCCCGCGGATTATTAGCAAGCAGCCGGTTTTACTCAACAGAGGATGCCGCGCGGCTGTGCGGCTCGCGACGACTCCTCCGCCAATCGATTGCGAAACGCAAACTCGCTCGGCGAGCTATTATCGTCGGCAAAACAGAACGAGAATCGGGCGCAGCAGGTAAGAGGCGCGAGAGATGCGCATCGAGCGGCGGCGCGATCCGACTAATGACTGGATACGGTGGCGCGCGACACACCCGCAAGCCGTCCGTGAAAATGCGCAGAAAGTGAAAAAGTTTATCGCGTGACGGTTAGGGACTTGCCCTTCTTTCCAATTGTTCAATGGCTTCCCGTTCATATCTGTTCTCTATCTCACTGGCCGCGGCAGAGCTTCTCCGTTGCGTAATTAACGCGACGATTATCTGTCGCTCAAAGAGGATGTGGCGTTCGGGCAAATCGATATGCAGGCGTTCGTCGAGCGAAGCGAACGGGGGAAAAAAAATTTGCCGTTTTACGATCGCGGCGTCAAGGTTGTCGACCAAGTAAGAAAACGAAGAAACGATGTTGTCGTTGACGTCGATGCACGCGCCGCTGCCACTGCACGCTGCCTGGCTATGAAAAAGCCACGTTACTCAATGCACTTGTCAATCGTTCGCGCATGGCTGGCTACCGTACTTACGAGGCGACTAATCAATTGCGCCGCGTCGCTCGTAATAACGAGCCTAGCGATGCTCAAGAGCGTGAAAGCCACTCAAGTCTTTCCAAGCGACGACTTTGTTGACGCGCTGGCTAATCAAGTCGTTTGTCGCCGTGCATCTTCGCCTGCGCGCTCGAAACTTCCCGGGGGAGATCGATCAGAGCGACGAGCCGCCGAGGGGAAGAGAGTCGAACAAATGCCAGCTCTGGCTGGCTGTTACTGATGCACCGCGCGCGCGCCTCGAGATTACAAGTCGATTCTTTCTCTATCGAACTTTTCACGGCGGGCGATAAAAGTTTCGCTCGAGGGCGATGAGGGGAAGGAGGCTGGCTAAGACTACCCTTTTATCGCGATAAATGAAACCGTCGACGGATCGTCAAGAGTCGTTCGCGATCCCGTCCCGCGGTAAGCCAAGCGAATGGGCCAAAAATTATCTTTGCCGTAAGGCTGATCGATACGACAATCGCTCGTTCGCGAGGGGAATGCCGTCACGAAAGGACGAGCCTCCATTTCGATGGATGGCACATCGAGGCGAGGCCTTTGCTCGGATATAGAAAACTAATGCTCGGCCGGATGGCGCGCGAAGCCACTGGTTCGATGGAATATTTTTTTTTTCCCTCGCTCCCCCTTTACCGACGACCTCGGGCTAGCCGAGGAAAATGCGTACACACACCGTACGTAAACGAGGCGTGCCCCATGGACTGGCGCCCTTTCCACGAGACTGCGGCGCGTCGAATCGTCGTTTCGTCAGTTTCCGACCAATGTAACAAGCTTTCGTATACGCCCCCCCCCCCGCCCCCTCCACACCCCAACCTCCCTCTGTTCTGGTGGCACTTATTTTCTCGCGTTGTCTTAATGGAAACCAACTGTATTAGGCGAACGCCAGACTCTCTTTGTCACGATAAATATTACAGCTCGCCCTGAGACCTCTCGACGCGCTTGTTTTTCTTTTTTTTCCTTCCTTTTCGTCGCTGGATTATTGAGCTTTGTCTGGCACGGCCTCTCGCGAGCGAGCGAGCACGCGGCTTTCACAGTTCTATTTTAATTTTTCAGCCGTTAGAACAGAAGTTTACGCTGACTTCCCGAAGGCTGGGCGCAGAAGCGAGCAAGGGAGCCTTTATCAATTTTTCATGCCGCGGAGGGGGCATTGCGCAATTACTTTGCACGCTCCGAAGCACGTATATGAAATTGAGAAACCTCACGTTCGATCAAATGTTGTCAGTTGTTCGCGCGAATAAAGCACGCGGCCTTCTTACGCAAAGCCAGAGCTGTTAATTTAACTGGAAAAGTTTTCTGCCGAGGTGTGTCTCCATTAAGGTTTTGCCCGCCTTTGCAATTAGAACTCTCGCAAAAGCCAAGTCCCAACGCACCAGATTGCTCGTCGCTATCACATTCGTTCGTTAGTTCGTTTGTTTTTCGATAAACCTTGGAAGTCCGAGTTACTCGCAGGAACGGCGGAAAAAGTGGAGCTCCGCCGCAAGCAAACTCCGCAAATCGAGCGTCTACGCGCTGTAATCAGCGAGCAAACAGTCGATCGTTACGGGGATGACGATGAAGATGGGTTAAGAAGTGCGCAGCCAGGCAAACATTTGCGATCGAGTATCTCGATAGCTACATCGAGAGAGTCTCCCAGGTGTACTTAGCGAAGTGGCTCCACGGAGAAAGAGAGATGATCGATAAGCCGCCTGCTGCCGAGAAGTAATCCGCGGCGGCAGATCGCAGCGACGCCGTCGCTCGGCAAAGAGGCCGACGATGCTAATTGGCCGAGGGGCTAATTAGAGGAGCTTGCGCCTCGCGATCGCCCGATTCGCTCGGGGCTCCCCGGTCTCTCCAGACTGCATCTTCGCTGCGCGTTCCCTCGGACGAGAGAAAAAGCTCGCGAGAAGCGCGCACCGTTGGCCGAGGACGCCTCCGGAGCTACGAAATTCGGCGCGCGATGCTGATACGTCGAACGGGACGACACGCTCGCGCGATCGATCCGACTTTTCTTACTCTTTTTACTTGGTCGACGCGCGAGAACCGGTCGCAGAGGACGAACGAGTCGAGCGACAAAGCGATGTCGACTCTCTCGCCTTCGCGCGTATACCTGTCCGGCCGGAATGATGCACACGTAATATGATATAACAGCCGCGGTCTCGCGGATCAATCTGGCCCTCGAGCTCTCGGCGAACCAACTGCAAGTCATCTCGCGACAGCGAGTGCTTTCTCCAATGAAAAGGGACACGAGTAAGCGAGAGCCCCGAGCGGAGGGTGGGCACGACGCAAGTGGGCCAGAGGCGAGCGATCGGTCGGGGGTAGGAAGAGCGAGATGCACAAGGTAGCAGAGGCGAGTCTAGTCGTCGACCGAGGGAGACGAGTGGAGAGCGCACTACATCTCGGCCGCAAGGGGCGAGCGACAGACAAAGGGCATGAAAAGATACATGTGCAGTTACTCACGGCTACGAGTGGAGATCCAACGGATGCGGTGGTCGCCAAGTGTTGGGCGTGAGCGGTCAGCAGTTACACACAGAGCACTAGACAGCGGCAGCAGTGGCGTCGGCGGCGGCAGCGAGCAGTTCACTGGCGCGGTTCGTCTATCGTCGTGTGCAAGAGAGCGCAAGAGTTGCTCTCTCCTCCTCTGCGGCGGCGGCGACGGCGGCAACGGCGGCAACGGCGGCGGCGGCGGCGGCGACGGCGGCGGCGGCGGCGGCTGTAGCGCGGCGGCACCGGGTGGGATTTTCGAGGGAGAGAGGAGGGCTCGCGCGCGCGTGCGTGAGCGTGTGCGATAGTTCAGTCCAACACCCAGAGAGCGGAGAGTATCACTGAGGCGCGCTCGTCGTCGTCGCTGGTGGTTGTGTGTGCCACGTCCCTCGGAGTCGTGCGCGACCTGTGTCCAAGCCGATTCCTCGGGGCTCCGGCTTTTATACGCGACGCACACAGCCGACCACCGCCCGCCCTTCTTCGGCTCGCTTTTTTTCCAGCGCCGCTTACTCGCTCGAGCGCCGCGGCTGCTGTCGTGCGCCTACGGGGAGCAGAACAGTCTCCCCCCTCTCTGTCTCTCTCTCTCTCTCGCGGCCGACCTGGCTACCCCTCTTCACCCTGCCCGACTCCCTCTCTCGCGCTGCTGTGCTGCGCTTCTGCTTTGGCCTTTTTTCTCTCCTCTCCGACTTCTCTGCCACGTCTCAAAAGGGTTGCTCGAACTTAACAATTTGGCCCGCAACTTGGCGTTCACGAGCTACGAGCCTGACGCTGCGGACTCGCTCTGAGAGAGACAGCAAGTACTCGACGTTTAATTTCATCGTGATTCCTGATGATGTCGCTAGCGAAAGATAGAACAAAAGATACAGAAGCGGCGACGAGCTACGTGAACGATTGCCAAGTACAATCGGACGGCAATTCGAAAAAGTGCACTTTCGTGCAAAAAGCCTAGAGTTCTCTCTCTCTCCCTCTCTTTCTCTCTCTTGGGAGTATCGATCGCGAGGCGCAGCGAGAGAAAGAAAGATCTGTCCTTGAACTTCTCCAGCAGCAATGGCAGCAGCGCCGGCGGCATTCCGAATCGCAGCATCCATTTGATCTTTTTCCACGTCTGCTTCTTCCTAGGCCTATTCGTATTCCCTTTAATTTCTCTCTCTCTCTCTCTCTCTCTCTCTCTGGTTTTTCTGCCGCTACTATACGTGTACTCGCTCCCGAGCGAGGGACTGGTTTTCTTCTCCTTCGTCGTCGATCTTGATCGATTAGATTGTTTACCGATTCGCCGAGCTTTTCCCTTCGGCTCGCAGTGGTTCTTGCTTTCATCTCAAGCCGCCAGTACGACGTCGACGACGACGACTAACAGCCTATCGCTTGATATTTGTTCTCTGCCTTTTCGCGACAAGCTCCGTCGCGTTCCCCGTGCTGTTCTTCTGTTTCCCTTGTCGTTCGTCTACTCGTCGCGAGCTTGCAATTTGATTTTCATAATCGTCCCGCTCCTTTTTCTTTTCACCGCGCCGCAATTGAGGTCTACCGAGTTGCCGTTCACTGAATATTCTCTCGCTAGGCCGTGAAAACGTCGAATCTGTTTGTTATATAATCGTAGAGCTCCTTGCCCCTCCCAGAGAAAAAACGAAAAGAAAAGACGATCGAACGCGAAGACCGCAGCGCAAATCGAATTTCTCGAGTGCTCGTTTCGAATTCTCGCTGGGGAACACGCAGCGTTGACAAATAATTTATTCGCAAGATTCGTCAGAATCTCCAGGGAATTTCGATAAACGTCCCAGTTTGCCGGGAAGTCAACCTACGCGAACCTTTCTTTCGCAAAGCCTCGCAAATTGCTTTATCAGCACTCGTTGAGCTAATTGATCATTGTTTAGTCATCCAAGAGTGCTCAAGTGAAGAGCAGACTCCAGCCAAGTGAAAAATCAGGATAAGACTGGCATAACCTTCTAAGCGCGCTGCGTTATCTGGTCCTAAGTTAAGTCCCGCAGAGAAGAGAAAACGACACTGGAATTGCATCTAACGGCGGTGACTTGGCTGGAAGAGAGATTTCTCGAAGGTGCATGTAGGAATGCCCAATTACTTTCGGCGGAGCTTCTCTCTCTCTCTCTCTCTCTCTCTCTCTCGCTCGCTCTCTCGCTCTCGGGTTCGACGTTCTGCTGCTCTCCCCTTTAAACGCGAGACAGACCAGTCGAGCGAGTATTCGTCTTTCTACCCCGTAGGTGTAGGTCCAAAAAGACGGCGAGAAAATCGGGACACACGAGGCTGCTGCGCGCACCGACGCCGACAACGGGCTGAATCCTGCCAGGGCAGCCTAATGCAGTGCCTCGCTCTCTCGCTCCTTTAAAGGAGCGGGTTAATCCCCTCAACCTTTGGAATTCAGAGTTTAATGCTCCGGGAGAGAGGGAGAGAGAAAGAGAGAGAGAGAGAGACCAGCTTGGCTTTATTTTTTTCTGCCTCTTGTCCTCCGAGTCCCTCTCGGTTGGTGATCCAGCCTCGTTTTTCAATCGCGCACGCACGCTTTCCTTTTGCATTGCTGTTATGCATGCGCGCTCATGGAAATTCGACGAACGAGAGAGAGAGAGGGCGACGGTGGGCGCGCGCAACGGATTACGTAAAATGGATAATGAGTTGATTTTTCGTTGCCTCGTCGAGGGGCGGCGTTCAGTTTATAACGAGCGCCAACCGGAAAGGTTGTGTCGCGCGCGTTCGTCGCTGGAATTATTAATTGCAACAAAACGCGTCGCGCTGCCGTTCAATTGACGCGCACGCAGGATTGATTTCGCGGTAATTAGATCTGTGTTGGCTCGCGTCGACGCGCGCTCCCGCGTTATTCCGCGTTCGGGTCAATCGATGAATTGTAGTCTCGAACCGAATGCTGCCCGGCGTCCGACGCGGAGCACCAAGCCATCACGTGTCCAAACGACAGTGCGTCGGTCGAACGTTAGATCGCCTCGGAAACGAATAAAACGAGGTGCGCTTGCGATACCTCGAGGAGAAAAAGCGCGCGCGACACTCAATTCTTACGGGCATTCTTAATGGCCAGGCTGCACACTTTCATTGAGAAGGGAGCTTCTTTTCGAGCCTGCACTCGGAGAATTTCAATCCAGTTATGCAAATGCCTCCGGCGAATACATTATTTCGCTCGCGCGGGTCATTATCAGTCGTGCGAAGAGCAGCGGTGCGCGGTGTACGTGTCAACAGAGCTTGCGCGAGGAGATAGTGCCGATAAAAGAAGAACGAGAGAGAGAGAGAGAGAGAGAGAGAGAGAGAAAGAGAAAGAGAGAGAGAGATAGAGGCGACTAAACCCGATCCTTCTCGGGTGCTGCACCTGCGTTCCATGTCTCTTTTTTCTGAACCCTCGTCGTACAATTCTGCTGTTACGAGCCACCGCCTCGCCATCGCCGGCCGACTGGTTCTGTCTGTTTGTTTTTCGCTCGACTGACGCATGAACATTTTTACCGAAGCTCGCTGATTATTTTGATTTAATCGGCTGCATCGGTTTATGGCGTACCTGACGCTTTTCAGCCAGATAAATAACACGTCTATGAACACTTTTATTTTCCAATGTATATTCTATAAAAATTATTTTATCATCGATTCTAAACCTGTTCGAGTTACGTTAGGATGTTGAACTTGACTCTAAATGTCAGCCTGTTCCCACAACCACTTGAAATCAGGAAGCGTTTGAAGATTTTAAAGAAACATTGAACCTCGAGTGTGTTTCAAATATTTGCTTTTCAAACAGAAGTTACTTTCAGATGTGCCTAATTATATGCCATTTACACTCGGCAGTTTCGTTGCAATTATCTGTAAAATCCAGATCGAGAGCGCGTTGAAAGAATTAGAAAAGCAATGGGGAAAATAACGCCATAGCGCATCGCTATCTTGAGCCTTTCGGTCTCTTTTTTCCAATGATAGAAGTAAAACACTGTTGAGCTCTTGGAAAACAAAAGGACGGATTTGTTCCTTTTTTCAGAGGCATTTTTTTGAAGGGACAAAAGCAGAAGTTGCACTCGAGCTCGACTACACCACTGAAGCCATCGACGCGCGCTATTATTCTCTCCAGAATGCACGGACGATTTTTTCACGAGTACAGAGTTGCCGCGCGGACCGTACAATGCATGTCAAGTTGCTTCTGTTTAATTGGACGGCTCACACAGTAGGTGTTTGTTTCTTTTTTTCTGACCTCTTACAAACATCCAAGTTTTTCAATTTTCACGACGAGTTTCCTCGCATTATCGAAATTAAGCTGCTCGGCTGTATTTCGACGGTGTCAGGACCAACACTGCGTCGAGGTCTTGTTTCGTAATTGTTTCGTTTGAGTTGACAATTTGAAAAAAACCATTGTAAAGAAGCGAAAATCCTTTTTTTAGGATAAATGCTAATCTTTGGTTCTGACATCAAAATTGGCGTCCTCGTTATCTTTCTTCGGCTCAATCCTTGACCACTATATCTCGGAGTCTTTAACAATTCGTTGCATGAATTGTGTAAAACCTGTTTTTTTTCCTCGGTCTTTCCAGAAATTTATGATAAATAACGTTGTTCTACCGTTCATTTTTATGATGGATGTTATTCAAATGCCGAAGAAAACAGTGCACTGCGTTTAAAAATGCATAAAATATGTTTTGCTCTGTAAGCGCTGTAGCAATTAAATGATTATATATCGATAGCTTAAATGACAAGTTCCTGGAAAAGTAAACTTAAAAAATTGATGGATTGCAGAATCATTTGTAATATATATTTATATATATATCCAAATAGCAATAAATTGCTTCGTTTTGAGAAAGACAGCTTTCGCCCTAATATTTTCGCTGGTTGCTGGTAAAATTGACAAAGGTTATTTTTGCGATTTGCGGATGTGGATTGATAAAAGTTACTCCTCAATAATAAATTATTATCTGAAGGCTATACTTTGAATTATTATTAGTAAACAAGGAATCGTTGCACATTGAAGATGTCTCGATAAATTTTTCAATAAAGTCATGTTTATAACAATATTAAAATTGCAGTCAAACGTTTTATTGACTTTTCAAAGCTACGATAAAAGTTTTTTTTATTTAACATTGAATATACGTCCGTTTCTGTTAAAGCACCAGTAGTCGAAAGAAAAAATAGCCGATGTATCTGACAAAAATCAAATACACCACACTAGACATTTGTTCTGGCAAAGTTGGCTCAATTGGCCTTATCTTTGTTCTTGTCGGAGCAAACAAGTCGAAGCCGTAACGTCGTTGGATAAACGGCTGACGCATTGGAAATAAACTAGGAAAAAAGCATACGAAAGAATGTGACGTTCGTCGCTGTTTTATACGAAAAAAAGCAAAAGGCGCATTCCAGATGAAAAAAAAAGCCCGCGCCGATGTTTCTCGCGCGCATCAAGAGGCGAAGACGCAACAAAAGCTTGCCGCCAATTTGCGTTTGCGCAAGGCTGAAAAA